CCAGGGGTGTGGAGGTTGGAGCAGATGACCATACCTGGATCTCAGGTGGAGATGACTCCTACCTTTCCAGCTGGGAAGAGCACCTTGGTGTAGAAGTCCTCAGCACTTCTCAGAATTGTGGTGTTTTCTTTGTGGTCAATAGGTCTCTTAAGGATCTCCTTGGGACCACAATCCCAGGTCTTAAGAAAACTCCATGGTGTGAACTGACCATCTTCATGTTTACTCCATCATGGAGATTTCCCTGGCATGGCTGGCTGGCTCTCAGCCTGTCCCTGAGGCTTGGGGATGGGGGCTCAGGGCTCGGGGCTGCGGCTCGGTGTATCTCTGGGTCTCCCTTGGAACGAGGCTTGGGAGGCTGGCGATGCGCACCACACACCAAGCAGCAAATGGAAACGAGGGCTGAATTGCTCAGCAGGTTGTGTAGGAATCCTCCCCCCTCCGAGCTGCTCTGGGCCAGCATGAGTTTCTCCTCCTGCTCGCATCCGTAGCTCATCTAGATTTGAAGGCCAGCCCAGGAGCAGGTAACGTTGTGTCCCTCGACCTTGTAGAACAGCCTTGGGGGGCAAGGGGGGAACCGGGTGGTTTTGGTGGAGGGGTTGAGCCTTTGCTCTGTGCCAGGGATCTGAAGGCTGCGTTGGAGGGGGAGGGGAGGTTGCTGTTATTATGGACCATGGATTAAACGGAACAGGGGTAACTTTTCTTTACCGTTCTTGCCATCGTCTGTCTGTTGGATTCTTTATGGGTTTGAAATCCGGTTTTGTCAACTGAAGAAATAAAACAGGGCATGTCTTGTAGGTGGGTTGGGGCTTCAAGAGATGAAAAAGTGAGGATGCCTCCATGAAGATGAAGGATTTTTGTAAACTTTGGACCAAAGGCATATCTGCTTTTATTTTAATTTTTTCCTTCCTTCCTTCCTTCCTTCCTTCCTTCCTTCCTTCCTTCCTTCCTTCCTTCTCTCAGCTTCCTTTTATCTTGTCCCTGCCTGCCTGTCTGCCTTCTTTCTTGGCTGCCTTCTTGCCTTCCTTTCTCTTGTCTCTCCTCCCTCCTCCCTTATTTATTATCCTTAATTTCTTGCAAATGCTTGTTCTGTTGTCCCTTTGGGAGCAATTCTGTCAGGTTTAATGAGAGGGGAAGGCTGACTTCCGCTGCGTTCGTGACGACCCACTTTTCTGGAACTTAAACTCCAGAATTGCAGGATCGATCCCCACTCTGAACTGAATGCCCTTTCCAGATTTCCCAATCCACGGGGCACGGAATGTGTATGTCTGTGTGTGTGGGGGGGGGGGGCATTTGCAAAGAGGACTCTTGGGGAGAGCTGCATTTGTGAGATGCTTAGTTTCTCCTGCCTGACAAAGGCCCTGAATGAACTCTGCAGTTTTCCAGGTCTGCAGTTTGCAGGCTGTGGGGGGCGGGGCGGGGGGCTGGGACAGCTCATCCTCCTTCCTGTCAGGAGCAAAGAGCAGGTTGATTCGGCACAAGCAGCTGGTGCTGCATCATCCTTCCCTTCCTTGAAAGGGGATAATTATTTACGGTGAGGGGTCCGGTGCAAAGAAGGAGGAGCTGTGGGGCTGCTCAGCTGGGGAGAGGGCAGAGTCCAGCTGGGAAAGTAATATATGCTTTCAGCTTGAGAAGTGAGCCCATTCAGCTCCCCAAAGCACCGAGCAGAGCTGGAGGCTGCATGTGGGTGCTGGTGCCAGACAGAGACCGGGGTGGGCTGGGGTGGGGTGGGGATGGAGAAAGAGATGTCAGTGGCAAATCCACGAGTAAAAATGGGCTCCTATCTCCTGTTTATAACACAAGTCTTTTCAGCTGTGCCAAGAAGGTTGCACACCTATTTGCACTATTCAGGTGACCCTGAGGGCACTGATAAACCTCCAAGTGGCCTCAACGGCTCTCAGGGCGAATGCAAATGACCAGCTGTCTGCAAGGAGTACAGATCCTTGAATGCAAATATACAAGAAAACAAATCCTTCCATCTTCCACCACTCAGTCAGAACTGAAGAAGCTTCTTGGACGAGAAGCGAAACAGCTTCAAGAAAAAACAAAGTCCAGTTGTCTTTTGAAAAAGCACCCTTTTTTTTTTTTAATTTGATTTATATGCCGCCCTTCTCCAAAGACTCAGGGCGGCTTACAATGTGCTCAGCAACCTTTGGGACATCCATGACCTGGAGGACTGAGCATCTCCATAGAGAAATGGGAGTTCACTTCCAAAGGAGAGGATGGAACTGAGCAGCTGGGAACTGGGGTCATTTGAGGCCTTTATGTACCTCTCTCAATCCTGTTCCATGTTGTGCTTTCTGGATGGATTCACATCACACACAACAGCCTAAAATGGGTCTGGGAAGTTGGTGGGTCAGTGTGTGCTGGGAATTCAGCCACTATATTAGGGATGGACATCGGGCAGAACCACAAAAAAATAGTGTCAGCATTCTGATGCTGCCATAAAAAGACGAGGCTTTTCACCTACTTATTTCTTTGTAGATAATATCCCCTAGGAGATGAGATGGTGGGGGGAACATTCCTATGGGGTGAAGTCAGAAGCTGGGGAGACTGACTTGGAAGATGGCCAATGAGAAGATGAGAATTGGGGAACGGGAAGGGAAGGGTTTGGGGGTCAGAGGGTTAGTATCGGCTACGACTAAGTCGGGACTCGATCTCTCGTTCTCAATAATTGGAATACTTTAGCAAAGCTTAATTGTTTGGGAGTGCAATTTATTTTTAGATGACATCGAAACCTGACAAATAGACCTTCTCGGTGGTGGCCCCATTTCTATTCCTGTGGTATGGTTGACTCCCCACTCTGTTGCTTTTCCTAAAAACGTGTTTTTGTCGTGTGTGTTCCATCTCAAATGGAGATGGAACCGATCAAGTGACCGTATTCATTTCTGCCTTCTTTTCCCCCCTTGTCGGCAGATAAAAATAGATTTTGGATAGCACTGTTCCAGCCACTGTCTTGACTTGCTTTTCAACACCCCAGTTCTCTTGGAAAAGCTTCCCTTGCCTGTCAGGACTCAGCCAGCTGGCTGTGGACAGAGTTGCTGGTTGCCTCCTTATTTGCCCATGCCAGTCGGTTGGCACTGCCTGAATTGCGTGACACTCTGCTGTTCTTTGTCTGGTGGAGGGCACAGATGGGCCTTAACACCATAATCAGGCAAATTGCACCCCTCCATGAAGTGTGATAACGGCCTGTTTTTAAAAGTGCCATTGTGAGAAAGGAGGTGGGCCCAGCAGCCTTTTAAATACAGGTTGTGGAGGGGCTTAAATTGCAGCTGTTGGCTTCCAAGAGAGCTCTCGGCTTCTCTTGGCTCTGCCCCGGCCCCTTTCTAGCTTGGCTTCTTTTGAGCATGATATTGAAGTGATTGCAGAGTCTGTTTACAGGAGCAAAAATGTAGGGCAGTCCCAGAGATTAGGGGCAGGAGGTGACTGACCAAGCGATGAAAGCGAGCAAAGAAAGATGAAACAAACTCAGGCCTGAAACAATCAAGGCCGAATGTTCCACAAGATCAACCAGAGAGGAGAATTCCACTCCCAAAAAGTCTTTAAGGCTGTCTTTAGGAATTTAAAATGGCTTTTCCATGGCAGCTTTCGATGTGGCTCTGGGGAAGTGGCCAAGCTTTGAAAGAGGAGGGGAGCGTAGGCAGCTATGTGGCCTCAAAGTGTGCACTGTATTTTGCTGTTGTTGTTCAGATGCTAAGTTGTGTCAGATTCTTTGTGACCCCCATGGACCACAGCATGCCAAACTCCCCTGTCCTCCCCTGTCCCCTGAGTTTGTCCAAATTCATGGCCATTGAGTTGATGGCACTAGCAATAACAATAGCACTTAGACTTATATACCGCTTCACAGCCCTCTCGAAGTGGTTTACAGAGTCAACATATTGCCCCCAACAATCGGGGTCCTCACCTTGGAAGGATGGAAGGCTGAGTCAACCTTAAGCCGGTCAGGATCGAACTCCTGACAGTGGGCAGAGTTAGTCTTCAATACTAACTCTAACTTCAATACTCTAACCACTGGGCCACCATGGCTCCTAGACACTATCTAACCCTCTCATCCTCTGCCCCCTCCTCCTCCTTTTGCCTTCCATCTTTCCCAACCTCAGGGTCTGCTCCAAGGAGCCCTCTCTTCCCATTGGGTGGCCAAAGTATTGGAGCTTCAGCTTCAGGATCCGTCTTTCCAAAGGACCATCAGGGTTGAGTGCAAAATGTTGGCCAACCCAGCTTTCTCCGGTTTGATTCCTGTCCTTGAAGAGCTTCCTTCCCTTCCCACCCCTTGTCTTTTATGGGCCCCAAAGGCTTCCCTAGACTCGAAGCAAGGCTGCCAAGAACAGACTCCAGGAGCTGTCCAGGGTGCTCCAAAATTTCTGGAGCATTTCTTCATTTCAAGCTCCATTTGATCTTATCCCTCCTGCAGCCAGGGAGGGTAGATTGGTATCCAACAGATCTGGGATCCGATTTGGAAGCGGTTGGATGTGAACTGGAAAGGAAGCTTTCAAAACTGGTGACGTTTCCAATTGCCAGCGACTCTGAATGCCGGCCTGGGTGCCAAGTTCTGCCTTGCCCTTAAGAACCTCTGTACAGGTAGTCCTCGACATCCAACACTTCGTTTAGTGACCGTTCCAAGTTTGAACAGCACTGAAAAAAGCGACATGACTGTTTTTCACACTTATGACCATTTCAGCATCCCCCCGGGTCACATGGGTTACATTTGGATGCTTGAGAACTGACTCACATTTATGACGGTTGCAGTATCCCGGAGTCGCGTGATCCACTTTTGTGACCAGCAGGGAAGTCAGATTCCCTTAACGACCACGTTACTGACTTAACAGCTGTAGTGATTCACTTAATAACTGTGGTAAGAAAGGTCGTAAAACAGGACAAAATTCACTTAATGGCTGTCTCGCTTAGCAGAAGTTTGGTGCTCAATTGTCGTTGTAAGTCAAGAACCACCCATAAATATCCATAGGGTTTAAATGATTAACCACAATTAATTGCTTTTGTTTCAGGAGCCTTCAAGCATGCTGGCCAAAGAGGAGTTTTGATCTAGAACATGGCTTGTTGCTGGTGGCCTCCAGCCTTCCTTGAAAAGGGAATTTGAGACCTTCACTATCTTGATCCCAGCACCTTCACAAGAACCATGGAGGTGGTTGATGTTCCAGTGGGAAACCTCATTGACTTTGACTCTGAACCGTCCACCACGGACACCTCCGAGTCGGTCCCCACCGGCCCCTCAACCGCCAACGGCCACGCAGGGCTGGATCGCCGCGAGGTGGGCCCTGCGGCCGAGGAGAGCGATGCCACCGAATCGGCCGACAGTGAGAACGACACAACCGACTCGCCCACCCACCCGAGCTGGAACAACCACCGACGTTCTTCCTCGGAGTCCTACTCATCCAACCACAGCACGGAGTCCGCTCGGGGGGAAGTGGCGACCGAAAACCGGGAGTTCGTGAGCCAATACGTGGAGAAGATCTTCACCGGTGGGTGAGTGTTGCGGGAGCCCCTGTGGGACCCTGGAAGGGGGACGGAGGGGTGAGGGGAGTCCTAAACCCACTCCTGCCTGGAGGGCATGGCATTGCCAGCCTGGAGATTTTCCTCCCGTCAGGTCGAGCACGGTGGAGGTGCCTCTTGGTGTCTGGACCACGTGCCTCCAGCCACATGATCCCAGCTGCCGGATCTTTGTTTTGATCACATCTGTGTCGGCAGGAGATTCGATGCCGTCTGACAAGTGAAGGGAGAGGAGAACATTTTTATGATTGTCTCAGGAAACGCCAGCAAAGGGAGCAGGGCAGAGTTGCTGGAAGAGGAGCAAGACAGGAAAGCTGGCTTTTATTTTTTAAAAAAAGAGCACAGAGAAAAATGACACAACCCAGGGGATTTTGAAAAGGCAGCATTTTCAAAATCCCCTGGGTTGTTCCTCTCCCAGGTGATGCATACGAGTTGATCTCTCCGGGATCCATCTTCCATCCAAACCCACCCCCCCGCCAACCCTCTTTTCTCTTTCTCCTTGGGTATCACAGGATCTCAAAGCTGAGTCCTCCTCCTCCTCTGAAGTACAACAGTTCTTTCTTTTTGAAAAAAGTTTTTTTTATTTTTAAACAAACATACATAAAACCATCTTCAGTTGCAAACAGCGTGTCGGTTGGTTACAAATCTTCTGTGCATCATTCACCAAATTCATGGCTTACAATTTACAATTTACCCAGATTCTCGTATCATTGACCTAATATCTATCTATATATTGTTATCCTCATTAACTCACTTCTTACTCTTCAACTTACAACAGTTCATTGAGTGACAATTCTGAGTTACAATGGCACTGAAAAAAGCGACTTACAACCGTTTTTCACACACTTACGACCGTTGCAGTATCCCCAGGTTCACGGGGATTCAGATGCTTGGCTGACTCATATTTATGACGGTTGCAGTGTCCTGGGGTCACGTGATGCCCTTTTGCGACCTTCTTGACAAACAAAGTCAACGGGGAAGGCAGATTCACTTAACAACTGTGCTAATTTAACAACTGCAGCGACATCCACTTAACAACCATGGCATGAAAATTTGTAAAACGGGACAAAATTCACTTAAGAGATGTTTGGCTTAGCAACAAAAATTGTGGTCGTAAATCGAGGAATACCTACAGTCCCAAAGGTGCTTTTTTCTTCAAAAGCCAACCGGACTTTTCCTTGAGGGAAAAAAAAAATTGTCCTTGAGGGGGGGGGAGGGGTTTTGAAGCAACCCCCCCCCGCCCCCCCCACCTTTGGGACAATTCTGACCTGGATGACTGAGAATCTCAACAGACATTTAACTTCTGGTACTTCCTGCCTGAGGATTTGGGAGCCAATGGCAGGGCAGATTTCATAGCTCCTGCCGGCCACTTTTGGCTCAGATATTTAAAAAAATCCCACTGAATCTCAGCAAAGCTTGCTGCATTCTGAGTCACCGGGGTCTGAATTAATGTGATGGGAGCTGAGCGATGAGGGAAGGAGGGCTGGCTCGGCTTCCTTGCCTGCTCGGAGGCCAGTTGGGTTCTGGAGCTATCTAGAATATTCCCTGTGCAGCTTGCACTCGGATGCCACCAAAAGCGGAGGCTTTGCCCTCCCTCTGCAGAAGCGGGAAAGATGCAGTGCTTTGGAGCAAAGCTTTTCATGTGAATTGTTAAAGAATTGATTGAATAAGAAAGCCGGTAGCCCAAGGCAATATTTCTCCACTGTGCACCTTAACATCCTGTCTCCCTGGATAAGTCATTTAATTCCTCATTTTATTTCAAGCAACTTAACCGAAAGATCTGCAGTTTTTAGCCAATTATTTTGGAAGCCAAGCAGTTCCTGCAGGCCCATTGGAATGGGGTTATGCCTGGACTCTGGTTAGACTTTTCGAGTCAACTAGATCCTTCTAAAGGACAACAGAAACAAACAAGGGTTTTTCTGTCCACCTTCTTTTCCATGGTGGAAAGACCTAGACTTGACAGATGCCAAGGTCCAGAGGCTTCTCCGTTCCTTTGCTGGAGAAAAATACCTTCAACGTGTCTTCTGTATAACATGGATAGCCCCTGCACCCATTATGATTAAAATATATCTTGGAAACCCCACCGTCATGGCAAGTTCAGGAAAAAGGCAATGCTAATATTTCTGTAATAAAGGCAAGGATCCTATGGAACAGCCAGCCTCCTGCTGGAACTGTGTTTTTCTCAACCATGACAACTTTAAGAGGGGTGGACTTCAACTCCCAGAATTCTGTGCTGGCTGGGGAATTCTGGGAGTTGGAAGTCTACTCCTCTTAAAGCCAGCATGGTTGAGAAACACTGCTTTGGAAGCCCTTTTATCCACTGGTTTTATTCCAGAATAGAGAGTTGTTCTGGAGCAGGGGTCTCCAATCTCGGCAACTTTAAGACTTGTGGACTTCAACTCCCAGAATTCCTCAGCAAAGCTGGCTGAGGAATTCTGGGAGTTGAAGTCCACAAGTCTTAAAGTTGCCGAGATTGGAGACCCCTTGTTCTGGAGGACACTTAATGCTCCTATGCCTATGATGCATGCTTACTGTTTGCTCCATTGTCACTGAGTTAACTTATTTGTATATGCTACCTTACTATTACTACGGATGTTTTAATTTCCTGGATTTATTGCATGCCACTGCAAGCTGCAGGGAGTCCTTGGAACTAAATCAGCGTATAAGTGTAATAAATAAAGTTTGCCAGACAGGAGCTCTCCTTTTGCAGCTGGGTTTTTTTTTTTTAAAAAAAAAAACTCATGGAATTGAGGCTGAGGATAAATATCCGCAGCCAACTTCCTGTCTGTTCTGGTGCCTTTGGGAAACCTGTTTATTTACCTTGACAGGTAACAGGACCCGGAGTCACACAATTTTCTCTTTGTTTTGAGTCAATAGAAAAGAGCAGGTCCTGTGGTTTCTGAGGACAGGGGTTTACCTGGCGATACCTTGCAGGCATCCCGTATGTTTTAAGGAAAGGATGAATGAAATTTTGTGGGCCACCTGGTGCCTTTGAAACTTGGGCTATGGGAGAGGGTCATTTGCAGAGAAACCTTCGTTGTCGGTCTGTAGGAATCTCAGTTCCTTCTGCTTCAGGAGCCCAAATTCATAGAGGTAGCCACAAAGAAGAGGAGGTCAACCTATTTTCCAAAACACCTGAAGGCAGGACAAGAAGCAATGGATGGCAGGCAGGCAGGCAGGCAGGCAGTCGGTCTGCAGTCTGGAAGCAGATATTTCTATCTATAGGCGTGCAAGATGTGACTGTGATTGTGTGTGATTTCAGAGAGGAGTTTGACCAAGAGGAACAAGCCAGATTCGGGGAGCTGTGCAGCGGCGAGAACACAAAAGGCAGAGAGTGGTTTGCCAGATACGTCAGCGCCCAGGTAAGGAAGCATTTAGGATCAAACCGCTTTGAGGATCAAATCTGGAATCCTGTAGATCTCAGGGGCCGTGCATGGCTTGTCACTGGCAGGCTTCATGCAATTCCAGCCTGCTTCAGAATTTCTTTTTAGGATTGTTAAGCATCCCTGTGGAACCACCATTGAAAAATACAGTCTACCATCTTGGTATTCCTAACTCCGTCCCTTGTCGGTTCCTTCACAGCGCTGCAATTCCAAGTGTGTGTCCGAGCAGACTTTCTATCGCCTGGTGCAGTCCTTTGCCGTTGTGCTGTTTGAGTGAGTAATGCCAGGCATCTTATGTGTGTGTGTGTGTGTGTGTTAACAGAGCTTGATTCTGTGGACTTTCAACCCAACCAGATCCACCAAATATTTTGGGCTAGATTTCCTTAAATCCCTGATCTTCTGAGCATTCTCTCTGTCTCTGTCTCTGTCTCTGTCTCTTTCTTTCTCTGTCTCTTTCTTTCTCTGTCTCTTTCTTTCTCTGTCTCTTTCTTTCTCTCTCCCTCTCTCCCTCCCTCTCTCTCTCTCTCTCTCTCTCTCACACACACACACACACACACACACACTTCCATTTTGGCTCTTTCATTCTTTCCTTGGAATGGCCCTGGGCCCTTCTCCTCCCCAAAGCACAGAATCATAGAATTACGGGGTTTGGAAGATCCGGGACCCTCAAATCCAGCGTTTCTCAAACTTGAAAGTGGGTGGACTTCAACTCCTTGAATTCCCCAGCCAGCTTGAGAAATGCTGCTCTCCAACCCAACCCTCTGCAAAGTGCAGGAAAACCATTTTTTTGAGCCACGCTCCTGGAGTGTGCGCCCCCCACCACTTTTCACCAACTTTTAACTCTTTGGCTTTGTAGATGCTACCAGACGGATGACTTCAGCCCTGCTAAAAACCTGATGACCATGTGCTTTACTTACTATTATATTGGTAAGTGCAGCCAAAGCCGAATCAGAGGAGTGGTTTGTCTTTAGCAGCAGCTATGGATTTTCCCAGAAGTTTGTTTTTTTTTTAAATTAAGAAAAGGAATCCTGTCTCCCTTTATTTATAAGCTGCCATGTGGACTAGTAACTTGGCTTGTTTTAAAAAGCAAAGAAGTGGGTCTCTTTACGGGATTGGAGACGGGTTACTCCCTATTTTGACTGGGGGATTCTGGGAGTTGAAGTCTTAAAGTCGCCAACTTTGTGAAACTGTTTCCTTTCCCCTTGGCGTTCTTCTCTTTGTGTAGGCAAGCCCCAAACTCTCCCCCCGGAGTGCAAAGAGAAAGCCACGGGAAGCATCGATTCCTACCTGAAGTCCGCCAACAGCTGGCTGGCCGAGAAGAAGGACATTGCTGAACGGCTGCTGAAAAACACCTCGGCCAAGACGGAGAACATGAAAGGGTTTTTCGGGAGTTTTGAAAGCAAACTGAGGGGTCCCAGTGGGGCCAGGAAAAGCGAGTGAGTCCCCATCGCTCGTCTTTCATTGCTGGGGAAGAGAAGATTTAGGGTAGACCCCGAAGGATGCAGCCACGTTGTAAACTGTAAACTCTGGAAGAACGAATGGGGTGTCCTCTGAGACTCCCAAAGGCAGGAATAAAATCAGGGGGTGGAACTGGCAGGAAAGGGGATTTTGTCTGAGGGTCAGGGAGAAACTTCACAACGCTGGATGCGGTTGTGGAATTGACTGCCTAGAAGCCGTTGATCATGGTCCTTGGAGGGATTGGAGCCAAGGATGGGCTGCCCTGGCTCAGTCTTCCATGGCAGAGGGGGAACTTGCCTGAACCCCACCTCTGCTCTTCTTCTAGGGATGGCGAAGAGAAGCCCAGGGAGAGAATGCAGAAATCAGGTAAGCAGATCCACCCAGATGGTTGGTGGTCCTTGGTGGGAGCTCCGGATCTCTCAAGCAGGGCAATGAAGGTGGAAGGGGGGTGCCTACTCTAAAGCTCCATGGTCTGAATGTCCCTTTCTCTGCAGTTTCCCTGTACAGTCCCGAGGAGGAAGAAGAAAGAAATGGGGAGAAGATCTACCTGTACATGCACCTCAAGCAACAGCCCATCTGGTAAGGACAGAGAAGATGCCTGTTCTGACTCAGCTCCCCAAACATGACAAACCCTCTGAAGTTAACTCAAAGATTCCTTTATTAGGAGCTCCAGGAGAAAAAGTTTCTCTCTCTCACAGTAGGCTAACAAGTCTGTCCGGCAGGGAGATGAATATTGTCTGCCACAGCTATTCATCTCGGCCCCCTGCCTTTTATCCCCAGAGCTAGAGTGAGGCTTTGCTAGCAGTGGTGGCTCTTCTGTCCCAAGGACCGGCCCATAGATTTCCACCACTCTCCTCTCCTCTGCCTTCTGTGCATCCGTGTGTCAGGCACTGGACCCAGCTGTTCCTCCTCTTCCTCATCAGCCACCTGCAGACCTCTCCATCTGAGGGCTGACGGATGGCCCAGGCTCTGCCTCTGTCTCTCTCTCTCTCTCTCTCTGACAGCTCCATTCCCTCTTCCCCCTCGGAGCTCTCAGGTTGCCTTGATGCTCACTCCCATGCCTCCCCCTCCTCCTCCTCTGATTCAGCTGCTGGAGGGGTCGGTGGCCGACAGGCCACAACAATGGCCTTCTCAATCTCCACAGCCTCCACAGAAAGACGGCTGTGGCCCTCGGAACATCTCAGCACAGCCACACAGAACCCGGCTGTCGTTGGCACCGGCCTCCATGCTCCGTCTTTCTTTTATTCATTACATTTATAAGCCACCCATCTCACTATCCAAAGCAACTGTAGTGTCTTCATCCCGGTTTCGTAGGCACACTCTAAGGTTCTGGAATGCGGCTTTCTTCGACGCCGTCCACTGCGAGAGGCGGAAACGGTCTCCCACCACCAGGTAAGCATCTCTCGGGTGGGGGGGCCCCTCTGGCTCTGGAGGAGGGCGAGGGGAGGAAAGGTTGGCTGGAGAGAAGGTTTCCCACATCTCTCTGGCCTCCATACCCCTTTCTCAAGATGGCTCCTTCTGTTCGTTTGCGGGCGAGCTGCTCTCGGATGTTCCTCTTCGGATTAGGAAGTGCTCGGCTGATCGTGGAGCAAGCTCACCTCTTTGCCAACACTCAAAAGAAGGGGGAGATTGGTGGGAAGGACCTTCACTCTTGTACTGTCTTGTGGGTGGGTTGAAAAAACTAACTCTCTCTCTCTCTCTCTTTCTCTCTCTCCCTTTCTCTCTCTCTCTCTCTCTCTCTCTCTCAATGTCTGTGATCCTGTTCTTTTTTTCCTTGGTTCATTTCTTCTGTCCTTTCCTTTCTTTCTTTCTTCCATCCATCCTTCTTGCATGTCCTTGCCATGTGACTTCTCTTGGCCCTTCCTGCTGCCACTCCAGAGGGGACACTGGGGAGGAAGAGGAAAAGAGGTGTGTCTTCCCACCTTTACTTTCTTCCCTTTCTTTCCCCCCCCCACCTAAATGGTTACCCCAGTCCAAAAATTTGCCTCCTGCCAGCGGGGATGAGAAATCCTATCGCCTGCCACAGCTAGACAACATAACTTGTTCATTCATTAATTGATTGAATCCATTTCTATTGAAATTTGCTTTTCTTTGGCCTGGTGGGGCTGCCTGGTTTATTCCTGCGGGCAGCCCCTTTTTCTAGAGCCAAGTTCAGAAGATGAAGGCTGCCCTGGGGGCCTCTCAAGTGGACATCTTTGGCCTCGTGACTAAAATTTGCCTTGCTTTGGAAAGCTGCAATGCGACAGAGATAGGATTAAAACGAAAGAAATTTTGCACGCTAAACCGATGGGCAACAAGGCCTTCCTTAAACAATCCTTTGGATTGTCTTCAAACACAGGAACCCATCTTCCCGTTCCCTGCTGGAGGTGGTGGGCCACAGTTTTTTTTTTTTAAAAAAATGGGCTGAGTAGTGTTTTATGGTCTTCTGAATTTTCATTTAACATTTCCATCCCCTTAGATATCATAGCTCAGGAATCACGTTTAGGTTAATTCGGTTTTGCCATTTTTGTGTCTCGGCAATCGGGGGTAAGTTTTTGGAAAGTGGCTGCTGCTTTAGTCTGTAAGAAGTTCCAAAGTTTCAGTGTTTTGTTTTGGTTTCCCCTTCTCCTCCTTCCGTTCTTTTCGCTTCTGAGCACCTTGGGTGACTGGCTGGCCTATTCCGTCTCTCCCTTCCCTTCCCTTCCTTTGTTAACTGTCTGGACTTAAAACATCTCCTCTTCTGAGTAAGTTCTCTCTTGCCCCGATGACGACACTGTGCGTTTCCCCTCTTACTGGTGTTTTTTCCTGCCTGCACCCGAGGCCAACTTGCTCTTCTTCCTAGAGCGGTGATGGTGAACCTATGAGAAGGGTGAGCCGCCATGCCATTTTGGGTGACACACCGAGCCTCTGGACCCTCTGGAAGTCATGGAAGAGGGTCCTGCTCTTGTGCTACTTTGGGGGCCTCCAAAAAACCGTGCGAGTGTTCTTCCGTGATTTTCGGAACCTCTGGAGACCCTGTGAGAACAAAGCACTCTTGAATGATCTCCAGAAGTTCTGGAGCAGTGGTTTTGGAGAGAGCTCTTTTGTCTGTGTATATATGTGTGTGTGTGTGTGTAAAATACACCAGCAGAGTCTGAATTTTTGACCTGCCAAGTGCAAAAGGTTCGCCATCGCTGTCCTAGGGGAGGTTTGCACACACAGTTTCCATTGCATGCCCTCCTGTCGCCCAGATCGGGACTAGGAGGTTATATCAAGCCTTGAAGTGCTGGAGGCCCTGGCTGCTCTGGTCTTCTTCTGGCCAAAGCAGGAAAAATTGCCCACAGCCTCATTGTCTAGGGAAGCTCCCTTCTCTGGAAGACCAGCAGAGATCAGTTCATCTCCCAGGAAGGGGCGTGCAAAAGCTTTTTAATTTCGAGCTTGAAAAATTGCTCATAAGATCCTTGCGTTTAACATCAAAGGAAGGACTATGGTGAGCTTAAAACTCTCCCCAAACGATGAGAAGAGCATGCTTGGAACTTGCAGCCACGGCTTCCTGTCCCAAACAGGGCATTTTGGACTTCAAATGTTTGGCAAACAGTGAATAGGATTAAAGGTAATTGGTGCGCAAGGATTGGAAATGATTATGCAAGAGAAAAGATTTCTTTCTTTGTCCTGATTTCTTTAACGGTCAAGCATCGTAAATGAAACGAAAGAGTCCTTCCTCTGATAAAGGATTGCAAATGAAATGAAATACAGGTTGTCCTTGTCTTACATCCACAACTGAGCCCAAAATTTATATTGCTAAGTGAAATAGTTGTTAAGTGAATTTTGGAGGCAATCACCGAGAACTACACCCATCCTGATCCCAGCCTTCCCCCCACCCCACCTGATTCTATTTTCTGTGTCAAAGAACCAGTTTCCCCCTTCATTTTGCATCCCCTTATTTATTTCAGCAACTTTTCCTCATCCACCTTATAATTTCCCTTTTTAAATATGTTTCCACCTCTTGACATTGTTGGATGTTAGCAGGGAAGGGCAGCCACTGAAAATGCAATCCAGCAACAACCAAAATTAAGCTAGATTTATTCTTTCTGGACTTGATTTGACCTTTGGAATGCAGTGCTTGTAGAAATTCTAGCAACGGATGAAGGCAAGGTGGGAATTAAAGAGATAGGTAAATTGATACCGAGTAGTAGAGGAAATATACTGCTTCAGGGTTTCAGCATCGTATATTATAGATGTGTTGTATAGAGGAGGATATAGAGAAGGAAATGATGAAGTTAACTGGCCTTGTTATGAATTCCTTAAATGCCTGAATCTGTAGGATGTTGGAAGAGAAGGTATATGGGTTTGAAATATTGATGTTCCTTTACCTTCAGTGGAATTTGGAGGAATCTACTTCATCTGGCATGGGAAAGATTTGGTCTGTCGTGCTCTTTTAATGCAGAGGCTGAAATTCCCAGAATTCCAGCTAGCGTGGCCCAAAGAATTCTGGGAGTTGTCGTCCCAGGCTGCCTCCATCCTCCATGAAGATGGAGGAGGATGGAGAAGGTTGTAGAAACTGATTCAGCAGCTCAGTTGTGTTAGCCCGTTCACATGCCTTCCATACTTTCCCACCAGCCTCGGGCTCTTCAGCTCTGCATTGTTTTTATCTCTCTCTTGGGGAACTTTTTTTTTTTCTACTTATTTCTAAGAACAGCAGGCTGGATTTTTAAGATGAGGTGTATCTCTTTCCATCTGGTCTCTGTTGTGGGTCTCTCCTGTCTCCTTTGGGGGAACCTGGGTTCTCCTTTCTCTGAAATGGTGACCTGATTTTTTTCAGGGTTAGTGGAAACAGCAAGAACTTGGCCAATTCCAGAATGTTTAATTCTAGATGGTGGGAGCTCAGATTTAAGGCTAACATTTTGATCAGGTTATCAGAAGGTAGAGCTTAATGGACCTTAAGGGGTCGGGATTTGGGGTTTCCTTTTAAACCTTTCTCCTTTCCGCTTCATTTCTTCCCCCCTTGCTGTGTGTTTGGCTTTCTCCTTTCCTGCACACCACACAACAGATGACTTGTAAGGACTGGGTGTGTCACACTAATCACCGTTATGGTGGCAACTGAGATGACGTCCTTGAGAAGCATCTCCACTTGTAAAGTTGAGCTTGCTTTTGAAAGAGGACTCCAAAGAAGTTAAATGACCATAGATGCTATCCACAAATGCAAGAGAAACTTGTTTAAAACCCATCTTTGGACTTCCCACAGTGACACAAGCTCAAATACAGAATCTGAAATCAGCAACAGGCAACCCACCCACCCACCTTGTGAGGTGGTCTGAGAAACATCTCCCGAGTGGTTGCCACAATTGATAATAAGCTAATGAGAGAAAGCCCTTCAACCTTGCTCCCATCAATTCCTGCCAATTTGGACAAATGATGTGCCAATTGATTGCGCAAGGAACCCTGGTTTCATGATCCCCACCTGTGTTTGCAGGGAGAAGTGGTGCCACATGACCCAAGAAGAAAGGAACGATAGCCTCCGCTTTAATGAGAATATCACCTTTGGACAGTTGGGGTAAGTACCAAAACCAGCCATGTTTTCTAATGTGAGAAAAAGAAGATGAACTTTCTCGGCCTTCAAAGATCAGTTTCTTCTCTCTCTCTCTCTCTCTATTAAGTCAATAATTATTTTTTAAATGCCTGCCATAAATCATACTGGAAATCTATGCGTCCCTAATGCCTTCTCATATCCAGGCTACCAAATGCAGTGTGTCATTTGCATTGCGCATTCTCGGAGGGTCTATGCTGGCCTTCTACTTTTTTGGACTTCTGAAGGTCTAGACTTGTCTTCTGAGAATCCCAATCACGGGAATTGGATGTATCTGGAAAAGCATGTTCTGGATCACCAAAACGAGCAGTGGATGGCTTCAATCACCTGTTCTAATAAAAGTCAAACCAGTTGTGTGTTGAAATAAATATGCGCAATGTGGAAATGTGGGGTGTGGCTTTGCTTTCAGCTCAGACCAGGTAGGGCTCAAAGCCACCAACCAAGAGTGAATTAGTAAGATCTAACCCCTGCCTAGTTTATGGATTTATTTTGGGGACCAGTGAATACACAAACTTCACAGCACAGGTATGGTCGAAGTTCTGACTCCCCAGCTGACTTAGTTCTGATCGTCTTCATCTCCTTTTTCATGAAAGGGACCACCAGTAGTGGCATGGGTAGTGATGGGCTGAGGTCACTGGGAGACAGGATCAAAATTGATGTTCTGTTTTGCCTGGGGAAGGAGTGAATTTTGTGGAGGCTTTGAGGACAGAAGAAATGGAGCTGGAGACCATGGCTGATCCTTGCTTTAAGCAGAGAAGGAGGCTGTGCCGATCCACCACATCTGGGATCCCATGACTTCCTTTTGACTTCCACAACTTAAATGTGGAATCCTGGTCAGGTTCTTGAACAATTCAGACCAGTATTGCTTCTTTAGCGTCTCCCACAAAGCTTGTACCTCTTGTTGCTTGACTTTTGTTCAACTGGATTGAATCAACAAACCCCCAAAGTTAGATTTCTGGCTTGTTCTGACTTCTGACTTCTCTTTACTTTCCTTGACCAGAACTTTCACTCATAACATGCTGGCTTTTGGGCTGAACAAGAAACTTTGCAACGATTTCTTGAAGAAGCAGGCAGTGATTGGCAACCTGGATGAAGGTAGGTGTGAGCCTGGAAAGGTCCAGAAGTCTTTACAAAGCCAGGGACATCTTGGGGAAGGAGAAGGGGGACAAGAAGAAGAATAATTTCCCTTCAGAGCAGTGTTACTCAGCCTGGGCACCTTTAAGATATGTGGACTTCAAATCCCAGAATTCACCAGCCAGCCTTGCTGGGAGTTGAAGTGCACATATTTTCAATCTCCCAAGGTGGGGAATCACAGCTCTATAGATTGCTCCTCTGACACTTAACTGGCAACTTCCAATTCCCAGAATTCCTGAACCAATATGGGAGCTGAAGTCCACACTTCTTCAGGTTGCCACAGAAAAAGCTTTTTTGGGGATTTAGATGCTCCCATCTTAGCCTTTTGCTTTGCCTTAGGCTGCCTGGTGCCCCCCTCCCCCCCCTATGTGTACCTCCCATCCTTCACGTAACTGAAGCTGATCCCAGACATCTGGAGGACATCAATTCAAAAGGATGGTTTTGACATAAGGAGTATGCAGAAGTAGCCCAAACTGTAGATTGAATAATGGACAATTTGCTTCTTCTTGCCATGCTGGTGACAGATGTTGTGGAACCGTTTTGGTCCAGTGCAGGTTGTCCAACCTTGTCAACTTTTAAGACTCGTGGACTTCAATTGCCAGAATTCCCCAGCCAGCATAGCAATTAGTCCACAAGTCTTAAAGTTGACAAGGTTGGACACACCTTTGGACTAGCGCATTAGAGGGGACTAGGTTGAGGGAGATGAATGTCTAGGGCCGTGATGGCAAACCTATGGCATGTGTGCCACAGGTGGCACGAGAGCCATATCTGCGGGCACGCGAGCATTGCCCTAGCTGAGCTCCAGCGCACATGCGCGTGCCAGCCAACTGATTTTTGGGCCTTCTGGGCCCACCGGAAGTCAGGAAACGGGGCGTTTCTGGCCTCTGCGGGGGTGGGGGAGGCTGTTTTTACCCTCCCCAGGCTCCAAGAAAGCCTCTGGAGGGCGAAAAATGGGCCTACTGGGCCCACCAGTAATCTTTTTGCTGTTGCATGTCAAAAGTGGGGGGAGTGCGGGAGGGGAGTCATGTGCACATGTGTGGGGTGCAGGGGGGGCATTGAATTATGGGTGTGGGCATGCACACGCACTCCCCCTGCTTTTGGCACGTGACGGCAAAAAGGTTACCCATCCCTGGTCTAGGGATTTCCATTCTCTAGAGTGGAGCAGTTCCTGCTGAACTGGACCGCCAAGCTGCTCTCCCCACTGCTGTCTTGACCTCACCCAGCCTGTTTCTGAAGATCTCTCAGCTGGTTCTCCTTTGATTCTCCTTTCAGAGCAGTACAAGCTGCTGAGTGATCACATTGACCAAATGGCCGCTGAATAGAACCACAGCCTGCCAGGACCAGGATGGAGAGGAGAGGAGAGGAGAGGCCGGCGGAGGCAAAAGGCTGGGAAACCCGTCTCTGGGACCGTCTTGAGACTTCAGACGGGCTTTTAAATCAACAGACCCCCCCACAGACTCTGCAATAGTCCTGCATGATTGCTATTAAACCGTGTCGTGCTGTGCTAAGCAGCCCGTAGACGTAGAGCTTGTCCATCCGAAGACGCCCGTCTCCTTCTGCAGCCTCAAGGACACCCAACCTCTTCCTCAGACTTTGGGCACGAGAGGCCTGGCTTTGTCCCCCACCTGGGGAGACCCCTCCATGCAAGGCAGGGAGAGTCATTGGGGACAGCAGGGCCTTTTGAGAAGGACTGGAAAAACCCTCCACGTATGATCGCAGACGACTTTTAAGCAGCCAAAATAATTCTTTTCCCAACAGCCGTGAAATGTAAAATAGGGCGTTGTGCACGCATTGCGATGGAACAAACAGGCAGATAAGAGCGTTTAGTTTTTCTACAGAGCTGGTGATTCTGGAGAAAGGTATTTGTAGATGCAGAAGGCCTGGATCAGTTCATCCTGTTGGGCAGAGAAAGAGATTTCAAGGTAGGCCGGAGCTGAGCTTTGCTGTGCAAGCCCAGATTCCCGGTTTCCTGGAGCAATTCTGGGACCTCTTGTGTGCTTTCAATGCAATATGTTTGGATAAAACCAGGAAGCCTGATCTAACTCCGGCGCTGTAAACAAGAACAAATCCACCAGGGTGGATGATGTGGTTGGTTGATGCCATCTCTCTGGTTTGTCAGAGCCTTTGTCTGGTTGGTCCACATGAAGTAGGTGGAGGGCTGTCTGTGAGGTGCTGCCATATTCCCACCATTCATGAACGCAAAGGCTTCCAGGGCAGCAACAGGCCATCTTGGGGGCAACCAAAATATTCTTCATATCCTCCCATTTGGAGAAGTCTCCTCTGTGCTGCTTCTCACACCTTTGATGACCAACCTCTGGTCTCGTGTCTGGGGTGCATGTGTGTTTCTAAGGGCAGGTTGATGTTGGGTATGTAGGGGAGTGATTTCCATTCTCTTTGTGTGGCTGGATGGATGCCGGTTTCTCATTCTTTGGGAAAAGACAAGAGCTGTTGATTGATTTACAGAATCCACAAGAAAATCCATCTCTCTCTCTCTCCCTCTCCCCCTTCTTCTCTCTCTCTCTCTCTCTGTGTGTGTGTGTGTGTGTGTGCGCGTATGTGTCTGTTATTTAGGAATGACAATGAGCATCTTAAATCTTGCAATAACCCGCAAAGTTGGACCCATGCAGTTCCCTTGTCCACCAGGAGAGGGCGCCAAATGAATAGGTTTTGACATGTTTCCTCCTTTGGCGTTCAAGGAAGGAATCCTTGCTTAGAGGTTGGTTGTCTATGTGGAAGATGCCCTAGAGCCTAAATTGGTTGTGACTTCTACTGGTAGAATTTTTGGATGCTCCCCTTGTGAAACCCTCTTATATTTCCACTTGCTAACCAGATCTTTTTCTGGTGGTTTCCAAAACAAGCAGCTTGCTTTTCTTTAGCAGCCTGTTCTTTGCCAGTAGTAGCTTCTGTTTATAGTTTTGTTCCAATCCCGTTTGAAAACCGAAAGGTTTGGAGTTCAGATATGCATCTGGAAGAGGCTCAGCACATCAGCATTCCGCACGGTTGGCTTTTGCTGTTCCTAATCCTGCAGAAAAAGCCTAAACCGCCACATCTGGAGAGAGACCTCTGCTAAATACTTCTAGCTCAGCTTTGGGGAAGACGTCCAATTCTCCCAGCAAGCTTGCATCAGTTTAACACCCAGCGGAAACAACACATCGAGGGATGCACCAACAACTGAGGATTGCAAAGGTGTTTCACGGTGGGCAAAACGGCATCCAAACTCAGCTCCCACTTGTAGATAATTGGAAGCACGGAGTAGGAATTAAAGACGGCTTTGTGTGGATTTCTCCCGGGTTCCTGCAAGCCACAGCAGTCCAGGATGTGGCCTCTATTCTGTGAAGGCTGCAGGAGTCCCCTTCCTCTGATGCATGTTGTCCCGTCTCCTTTTATAGCTTAATCTTTTCGGGTCTCTCGTAAATTGTGCTCGTGTGAATTCGTTTTTTTCTTCTCCATTCCATTGTTAAATCTTGAAGATTTTTCTCTTTAAGGTGGGGGATGGCTGGAGAGCAGCACTGAACCGAATGTGAGCAAGGAGATTAGTCTACGATTGGAGGAATGCAAAGACTTAAATCCAGATGTTTGCTTGCATTTCTGAGGTCTGCTTTAAAGGCTCCGGGAGGTAATTGCCGTGAAGGGTTTAAGCGACTTCTTGGAATGAAGAGGAAGATGGGTCTGCAACAGATCCTGGGTTTTTTTGTGCTAAATAGGTAATTTTAGGACCATCTTTCTCTTGTTTACCCTTTTAAAAAGCAAAAACCCAGAATTGCATATTGTATGATTGTAAACCTGAGGTTTTTTTTTGTTTTTTTGTTTTTTGATTGTATGATTGTATGATTGTAAACCTGAGTGTCCCAGCACGGCATTTCTATCTTGTGAGTTTCACTGAAGTTTTTAAACTGCTGTATTTGGTTGTGTAATATATACATATATATATATATAAAACGTTCTGATGTACATTGGGTGCAATTGTGTGTGCCCTGTATCAAGAGTGCGACTTCATGTCCTACGTGGAATATTGTTGTTTTTAACTTATGTACTGAAAACATTTCAAGTTCTGGTTACGACAGGATCAGGGAAAATAAAATAAAGCTTCAATAAATAAATGAAACTACATCTTCACTCTTTTTCCCCTGCCCAGGTTATGTTTATTGCAGATCCCGTCTTCTGTGCTATTCCCTCTCTTTTTTTAAAAATAAATGTAATGCAAGTAATCCTTGACTTATAACCATTCATTTAGCCATCATTGACAGTTACAATGGCACTGAAACAAGTGATTAAGTTCCTAGCACTTATGAGAAAGAACAATCGAAAAAGAAAAGAAAAATGTAAAACAAAAATGGCTCTTTCCATAGATCAGATATACAGTAGTTATAAATGCCTTTGGGTTTTATCCATTTTCTCTGAGGTTATTCCATCACTGCCTTCTTTGCATAATCTATCCTTTCTTATTGCCAATTTTTAAAGTAAGTTTTTTATTTTTATTTCTTATAGACATATTGTAAATGTACATTATCTTATCCATAATTGATCATATATATACATATTTTTTCCTAATGAAAGCATTAAAATAAGACATTTTAATTACATTTGGGGTTGCTCTTCTACCCTCTCTTTTCCCTCTTTTCACAACAAACCTCCTTCTCCTTCTTTCTTTCCCCTCCTTCCTTCCCTCCTCTCCTCTTCTACTTCCTTCCTCCTCCTCTCCTCTCCTCCTCTTCCTCTCCCTCACTCTTCCCCTCTTTCCCCCCTTTCTCACCTTCTCTCCTGCTCTTGTCCCCTATCCTTTCTTCCTCTCCTTCCCCTTTCTTCCATTCGTCTCTCTCCCTCTCCTCCTCTTTTCTTTCTTTCTCCTTTGTTGTGCAATATTTCCCTTATTTGGTATCCGAGCAACTCCAATTTTCTAGTAGTATTTCTTATTGCCTATTGACCTCATAAATCGCAAGTCTTCCTTTGCATTTCCCGTGTGGTCTTGACACTGGTGCTGAACCATAGAAAGCGCTTGTCTACCGTGACTCCTTAGTCTTGTGCCAAGATCGCCCCATGCCTTGTCTCCGTGGCCGAGTCTGGTCACAGACGATGACCACAAGTTAAAGCGGCAGGTGAGTCAAAGCTAGACACACCGCTTCAGCTCCTAAGAAGCCACACCTGTGTTTGGTTACTACGGATACACCTGGATCGACACAAAAGCAGGTTCTCTGCCTTGTGCAGGCTCTCCTCACCTTCTTGCCCCACAGAGGATCAATCTGTGGGGAGTGGAGTGCCCCAACCCCCATTGCAAGCTTCCTCCAAAATGCCAATTTTGAAAAGCTCCGTCTTCCTTCTGCTGTTTCTTAATCCCCTGCAGGGCTCCACGCTGGAGCTAAGGAACGGGCCTACCGCCTCCAGCCTTCCTGAAAAATGTGCGGCCGACAAATTCTTCAATCTTGAGACTGGCCAGTGCAGCTCCTGTGCCCCAGAGCTGATCCCGAGTCCTGAGGGTGAGTGGGGAATAGACGGAGGGCTGGGACAGGGAAAGGGGGAATGTACGTCCAACAGCAAAACTGCCATATTTGGGGGAAAGAATTGGCCCTTGGAAAAATTCCACCCACTTCCCTTTTGTGAAGAAGCTGCAGGAACCAGAAGCCTTAATGAGTTATTAGCCGCTGTGTTTACAGCTAGCAAAATGCCAGCTCTGCAGAAAGGAAGTGCATTGGTGCATCCCGAGGGTGCCCTTGGGGCCGTGCAGTGAGCATGAAATTATGTGCCACGGCTAATTGCAGACTTGCGGGGGAAGCTTTTGATTTGTGGCAGGATCCTGCTGCAATCTCATTCTTGCTTGCCTCCCCTTTCCTGCTACTTTGCCTATGTAAAAACATCCACTCAATAATAAGAGACGCTGTTTAGCTGTTCCTGTAGCCTAAGCCTAAAAGAGGTTTTCTATATATTCTGCAAAGGTACAAGTAGTTCTTGTTTAGCGACAAGAATTGGGAACGGCAATGCCATCGCTAAGTAAAGTGGTCGCAATCCTGTGACGCTGATTCTGCTTTCCTTTCCCCCGCTTGGAATGCTCACTCGGCTGCTGGGATAATTCACATGAAGGGAGTTAATGTTTGCATTTGCATTCATTGGAGAGAAAGGGATTACAAGAGAATACGCGGGCACAGTGGGGGAATATCCATTGAAAGAATGCACTGGTGCTAGCAGCTGGTGCATTACAGATGTGTTCTACAGTGGTGTTTTTCAACTAACTTGAAGATGTGAGGACTAGCTCCCAGAATTCCTGATTTCTTTGAAATGCTAATGTTCACCTACTCACAGCAGAATTGGCTGCTAATTTATCCAACAATGTTTTTTTCAGTGAACTCCTGAGACCTCTGCAGTGAGTGAGTAGTTTCTAGAAGCCCTGTCTTGACTCAGTTTTCCTCCTTGTAGGTTTGAGTTGTGTTTGCAAGCCTGGATCAAAAGATGGAGAACCCCATCGTCTTCCATGCCCCGGCTGTGTAAGAGCTTATCTTTTGGGCTCTTTCTTGGGGATGCAGGCAGAAGCATTAAAAAATTAACATGATCTTTCTCTCCCCATATCTACAGAGCAGCGTTCCCGCTGGCACCCTCTGGGAATCTGAGTTTCTTGATAGGAACTTCCTAGCATGTGAGGTGGGTGGATTTCTGCTGCATCTCTTTGCTATACCAGAAGAGATTTGATGGCTTTGCCTTATTTTTTTTTATTTATAAAGAATTTTCTCATAAGTCAAAAAAGGAAAGAAAAAAGTGCAAGAAAAAAACAACTAAAATGAATACATAGATGAATGACTTCTTCTTTTTACATGTCAACTCTAGTCGTGGTATGCAAACCCTGGTAGATAGCTTCATGTGACAATATGCAACCCCCTTGCCGACTGTTTTCTTTTTTTTTTTTAATGGTTGCAACCTTGGTGTGGGGTCCAGGGCCCATTAGAGGGAAGCTGGTAACTTAGGAAAGAGTTTAATTTTACAAAGAGTCTCGCCAAAATGGTCTGAAGTCCACCCATTGTACCTGCTGTCCAGACCTCAGTTTTCTGCATTCAATGCTTTATTTTATTCTCCTTAGAACACCTGCAATGCAACGGCTTGTCAAATGCTCACCAACATGGTCATCCTCAGAGTCTTCTCTTTGCAAACCAGGCCTTACGATCTTTACACCAAGGCCAAGTAAGTAACTCCAGCTCTAGCTTTCCAGCTCCAGTGGCGGCATCTCAAGGAGAAGTTGATGTCTTACACATCATGTGAACGACACCAATGATGTATCTCTGGTGCAGTGACTTTGTGACGTCTCTCTGGATTGTCGCTGACCCCTGTCTCTTCAGAAGGTCCACTGGGCTTTGTGGGACCTTTGTTTCCTGCAGGAGCACCTGCCATCTTCTGCAAAGCATGAATGGATTTTCTTTTCAGGAGCCAAGATCTCCCAAAGCTTTGGTACGGTAGCAACACCAGACCTTTTCCTTCTGTGGCTTTTGGGAAGCATTCGAAGGCAAGTTGAAGCAGATCCAGAAAAACTGTGCATGTGTCCTGTTTCCTCCACAACCCCTGTAAATGTTTCTCAATGTTGACCCCTTTGGGATGGGTGGACTTCAACTCCCAGAATTCCCCAGCCAGCCTGTATAGCTGTAGTTGTTTTGACCAAATAGACATGTTAGCTAAGCGGAGTAGACCTTTGGACTAATTTGATGAACCAGGGAGAACTACTTAAACTGCCTGATCTAGTGACCACTGAATTTGTTTTTCTTTTCTGCAGATGGACTTCAAGGTCATTCAGTATGATGTCTGGGGAAAGTTCCTGGGTTGGCAGGATATAGAAGGAGCAACACTTCAGGTAAATGAATTGCTTTCATCTTTAAATGTGATCTACCTCTCACAATGCCCAATGAAAACATAGACTAAGATTATTTCCTTCCTTCCTTCCTTCCTTCCTTCCTTCCTTCCTTCCTTCCTTCCTTCCTTCCTTCCTTCCTCCCTCCCTCCCTCCCACCCTCCCTTCCTTCCTTCCTTCCTTCCACAAATCCATTTAAAATACTTAAAATTGGCTGTATCCTCTTTTCTGTTTGCTCCATTTAGCTCTGCCCAAACAGCCAAAAGATTCTGGATGCTGCTTTTACCATGGGAACCATCTACCAACAGTCTGTAAGTGATGCCTCTACTTCAACTTAAGCTTTGGAATTGGTTTTTGGTGGGTGGGATCCTGTTTTGGAGTTTGTGGAGAAGGCAGTATTAGGATCTAGGTAGACAGGTTACCCCTCAGACCGAAATTGACTTGATTTATTCTTCTGGGGCCTTTTCCAACTTGGTGGCCATCAGAGATGTGGGTCCATCTAGTTATTCCAGCAGATCTGAAGTACATCAAGTGTTTCCATAGGTCATCTGTCACAACAGGTTGCATTTGCAACCTATTGTGAATCTGGGGGCTTCTTTATAAACGATTAAGTGAATATGTCAGTCTCAGATGTGTCACTTAAGCAGATCTCTTAAATGGGCCCAGCAAAAACATTTGCATGGTATCCCCCCGGTCTCTTCTGTTTTTAGTGCACTCTTGAGGTCTCTGCCCTGCTGCAAAGAACTCCAGAACCCATCTTCTATGAGGTGTTTTTGCAGTTTGAAGATGAGAAGGGGAACACCCAACTCTGGCCCGTTCCTATAACCAACCCCACAATAGTAACTAACAATCAAGGTAAAGCAAGCCTTTGGGGTTTTCTGGGTTTAGATGAAAGGCATTGTCATTAAAACCTACATTATTCTCAAGGCATTTGCTGGAACCCTTCCACACACACACACCATTTCTAGAAACTTGGCTTCCTTCATTAATCTCTTCTTTCCCTTTCCCTCTTGTAAGAAGGCTGCAAAGTTTCCCTTCTCAAACCCAACCTTTCCCCACAACCTGTAGAAATGCAGACGCAGATATGTTTGCAACAAGCTTTGTCCCTCAATGTACGTGCCTTGAAGGTTCACCGGTTCAGTTCTGCAGTTTCATTTCAGCCCCTGCAAAATAGCTTGACCCCTTCTGACCCTACCGATATTAAACAACTTCTCCAGAGCCGTTCTGCTCGGCTTTGTACGTTGTGTTGAAAGAACGACTCCAGAACCTTTGCTAAAATCTTTCTCCCTACATCTTGTTTTGATGTTTAGCACCCCCATTGAATCAAGCACTCCGGAGGTTCTTTCTGGTCGATGGGCTGTCAGGCAGAAAAGGGAATTTGTCAAATGCTCCAGGGTCTGTTACCTTGGCAAAGGAATTGCTTCTCAGGTAAAAAAAAATAACATTTTCCAAGGCCTGATTAAGGGTGGAGGTTGCTTAGGGCTGGTAGAATATTGCCCACCACATTTTTCAAAAGAGGAAAATAACCAGAGAAGAACCAGCAAAATGGAAGGAAAATCTGAGGAGGAACAGTTGAAGGTGTTGGGTAAGTTTAGCCTGGAGAAGAGAAGATGGTAGAGAGACTTGATGGCCATCTTCAAGCATTGGAAGGACTTTTGTGAAGACAAAAGACAAGCTCAAATTGTTCCAGAAGACAGAACCAAAAGCAATGATTCAAATCACAAGGAAGCAGATTGTGATCAGACATTGGGAAGAATTTCCTAAAAGTAAGAACTGGTGGTGGACTCTCTTTTACTAGAGGTAGTTAAAGAGAGGCTGGAGGACACCTCTTGTGAATAGAAATGATGAAAATAAGGGGGAAAAAAGGGAGGGAGAACATATGCCTAGTTGGTGATCCTGACCTTATTCTAACTTCCTCTCAGCTATCCTTTTGCATGGCAGTGATTAGAAATGCCCACGGCATCTACCTAGTAGGAATGTCACTTTGCTGGTACCGCAAACTCCTCTGTGTCAGGAGATGCCCAGATGCTTTCTCCTCCAGCCCTCCTTCCCTCAAAGCCAACCACCATTCTTCTTCCTGGCTTTTGCAGTGTCCACCTACCAACCACTGTTCCTGTAGAAGACCCACCTTTCTCCTTGACAGTCAGATACGCAACACACCGCATCCCAGAGATTGCTCAGGTGAGTCCGTGTAGTGGGAATGGCCACCGGCTTTACGTTCTGCAAATCCAGAAGCAGAGGTGCAACATGGCTCCCATTTCATGTTGGGGTGTGCGTGGATTTCTTACTTCCCTTCACCCTCGGCTTCCAGCTTTCCCTGCTCTTCAGCTTTGTGGACATCTCATTGTAGATATACCTGCTTTTGTTGCTTGGTTTTGCAGGTGTCATTTTCAGTCTCCTACAATCAAAGTCCTGGATCAGCTCAGCTAGCAACTGATGTGAGTAAGCCCAGTGCAAGATTTTTGGGCTGTCTGTTGAACATTTAACAGGATTTTGGGGCTGATTTTCCTGCACAGACAAATGGTGGAAAGAAAATAAAAGCTACGACCAGTTGAGGTAGAGAAAGTAGACACCATCCTAAGGCTAACACTGCTGGTCCTTCAGGTTCTGCAAGGGTCTTCATTACAATAGGTCATGTTCTGCGAAGAGCACTTATTCTTCTCACTAAGAGAATGGCCCCACCAGGAAGATGCTTTCAACCCTTTCGCCCATATCACATTTCCCTCACCCTGTAGGCTTTCTACAAAGGTTCTAGAATTCTTCTAAAATTCTGGAAATCTCAGTGAGGCTGTGTTCTTTGTGGAATGTCGGGAGTTGAAGTCCACATATCTGGAAGTCCCCTAGCTTGAAGAAGGGCGATTGAGCTATTTACTCGTTTAATCCGCTTGTTCCCAAAAGATGCTTTGGGAGGTTTTAGGGATAGTCTTACAGATCCAAAGTAACTGTGGAAAGCAGTTTAATTAATCCACCTGCTGGGAATAATGACACACACATTGTCTCTGCCCAGATCTCCTTTGGGGTCCTGGGGTTTCTCGCTGTCCTCTACGCTTTGTTGGAAACGAACAGTTGGGCCCGGCGATCTCGTCTGCAGAACATCGATTTCATAGTAAGGATGGAATTCGCCTTTTGATCTTGAGCGTCTGGAAAATGGGTGGCCTCTCAGAATTTGGGACTTCACTGGGGACACCAGTTGTTTTTGCTTAGACTTTGCCAGATTTTTTTTTATAAAAAAAACAAGTGTTGCAAAATTCTTCACGCCAGCCCTCCCTGGATTCCAATTTTTATTCCTGTTAAATTTTTTATTTTATTTTCAGACCATATTGAAATTCTTTGCTTGCTTGGCTGGATCTCTGGCAAATGTCTTTTTCATGGTCACTTTGGGAATTAGCGTTTACTGGCTGATCGTTTTCAAGGTAAGCAAAGATCCGTGGCGGTATGTGAGCAGGTGTGCCTGCATCCAGTGTTCCATTGGTTTATTTTTAATTACTTTTGAGTGAATATTGCATTTATGGCGTTGGTGTAAACAGATTGGGGCTTCCTTCTTGAAGAGGAGGAGAATTCTGCCAACAACAAGAATAATAATAATGTTTGTGCTGAGGGATATAGAACCTCACAAGCAGAAAGAACTCGTCTGTTTTGCCTTTTTTTCAAATAGGGTCAGCAATTTTCTACAGTGGCAATTACACTCCCAGCTGCTGGTAGCCAAGCAGAAACCAACTTTATCATCTATGCACTGTGTGCTCTGACTCTGAAGGTAAGGAAAGTTGGAAAGAGCTTGCGTGAAAGACCTGGGGTCTTTGGGCATTATGTCTTGGAGAATTTTCATTCACAAATTCTTCATAACCAGTCCATCGGCCTTATCACCAACCTTTGATGCCTTTGGCAACCTGCCAAAGGCTTTTCTTGGCAAAACCCCCACAAAGTTCAAGAGACGCTGACAAGAAGCACTGGAATCAACGTTGCTTTTCTACAAAGAACCCAACGGCTCGTTGCTGCTCTTTTAAGCCTTCTGGGAGGGGCCAATCATCTCCTGGCCTTACTCCTGAGTTGTCCTTTTTGCTGCTCTTGCCTTCTGGCAGCTCTTCGCATGCGTGCACTAGGAACAGGCTTCTCCTGATCCTCTGCCTCTATGCTGTCCACCTCTGGAGGATCCGGAGTCCGTGCATCACTCCCAGATGGCCCTGGCCCCATCTCTGCCTCCGACACAGAGCCCTTGTCCGAGCCTTCCCCTGACTCCAGGACTGGCCCATTGTTCTCCCCAGCCTCCTCACTGTCCGACTCCACTGCCAGGTCCACAGGCTGCTGGCAGACCAGAACAGAATTCAACTCTCATGGCTGGCTGGGGGAATTCTGGGAGTTGAAGTCCATGCTTAGAGTTAGGCATTTGAGTTGAACATGAGCTCTGCTCCTCTTTGGAAGATACTCAGGGTGTAGGATTTGCAACTAGCTGTAGGAGAGGTCACGTTCTTAAGATATGCTGGGGAATTCTAGGAGTTGAAGTCCATAGATCTTGAAGGGGCCAAGGTTGGCAAACACTGCCTTAGATGATCAAAAGACCAAATATGGAATAGATGAAGAATTTATATCTCCATATCCCAGAGGCAAAATTCCCTGTGGATGCTTTTGTTCCAGAGCCTGGATCTTCTACATCTTCTGATCACCCAGCTGATGGTCTCCATCTTCCTGATAGACTGGGAGAAGCCAAAGGGAAAACCAACAATGAAAGGTTATCATTTATCATCGCTTTGGTTTATGTCATGTTCATTGCATGCAGGGTCCAAAAAGAGTCTCATCTCATCTTCCTCCTTTTGTGTCCTGGGATGTGAACAAATCTCCAGCAGAAAGAGCTGTTTGCATCACCTGGGGTTTCTCCAGCTGATGGGGCGAGAAGGTCTGACCCAGTGCGCTTGCTCTTAGCCCGAATAAAGGATGCTGCCAAAAATCCAAAGGTTTGGCTTGCTCCCAAACAAGGGCAGTGTTACATCACATAACTGTTGGTTATGGTATCGCTCATCTAATTACAGTAGCTACACTGCTAGATCATCCCAAGAGCTGCTGGAAAACCAGCAGATGAGAAAGCAGTGGGCTTCAGGTTGAGAACATCAGCCATGCCCTACTGTAGATTGGATCCTTGGTCATCTGTTCTTCCAATGGCCAACCAATTACCTATGGTAGCCCACCATGGATGGCCTCCTGAGATGGCCTCATTCCACGAAGGCTGCCACGGATCCCCAGGACTTCCATGAATTGCTCCAACCCTTTTTGGAAGCCAACCAAACTGCACTGAATTATTTGCTGTTGGAGAGGCAGATGAGCGTAGAGCAAAAACTCCAGGGGTCTCCAGTGTGCCAAGCTCTGCAATTGTCAAAAACACCTGAGAGGTGTGTGTAGAGTCCTCCAATAAAGCTCATAGTTTCTGTTTGCTTGCCTGTGTCCTCCTTCTCCATCCCACCCCGTTCCAGGCGGTCCAACCTCATCAGTGAGTGCCTGGAGGATTTTTCTGATCGCTAATGAGTGGAATGAAATCCAGACACACAGGAAGGTGCATCCTTCGCTTCAGCTGTTTGCTGTTTTGTTGCTTTTGGAGGTCAGTGCAAGACACAGGAGGGCCAACTATGCCGAGCTCTGCTGATTTCTATCTGCAACCCTGAGAAAGATTCTGCAGGCCTGCAAACATCTCCTGGTCTGGAGAGTTAGCTCAATGAGAGACAGGGAGAGAAACTTGGAATCTCATCTTGATGGCAGACGCTCCTGTTCTCACTGGTCTGTTCTGGTGGTTTTTCTTCTCCATCCTCTTAGGAAAAACCTGGGTGGACCAAACCAACAGCCTCTGTCTCCTTCGTGTCCTTGTCCAATCCCCTTGGGAAGCCACCTAAAATCCTGACTTCCTTTCTTAGCCCAACTTTTTCAGCACAAACTGTATAGCGGTGGACTATGAATCTCATGTGACAGTTAAGAATGAGAATACTTACCCAGAGTCAGCCAGTGAACCATAGAGGAAGAGAAGGTGTCTCCACGTGGGGATGACGTTGGCTTTTTTTTCATCCACAGGTGGTGGGACTCAAAAACCTCGCATCAAGAGACCTGAATGTCAGTTTGCAGCCTGAACCAAATACTTACCAAGCTCCCTGGAGCCCAATTCTTCGTTTTGGGATTGCTGCTTCTGTTTGGCTGGTGGTGGCCATTGTGCAGGTTTCTCTTCTCCTTTCTCTTCCCTTCCCTTCCCTGTCATCTCCTCCTCCTCCTCTCCTCTCCTCTCCTCCTTGAGATTGAACAAATAGAATATTTCCAAATCATCCTGTGGCAGAAAAAAAGTGCTCCATTCCATGTAAAATGATGTTTCCCCTCTTAGAAGCCTTCCCTATCTTGAGAAATTTGTAAAGAAAGCTTTTGTAACTTCACAAGAAAATAAATAGCACCTAGGATGGAGGATGGATGATAGATGATGGCCTAATCATGCCCAAGAGCTGGAAATGTTGAGAAAAAAAATGGGTCTCACTCTGCTTTCCTTGGTTCGCCTTCCATGCAGCCTTTTCATGATGCAAAAGGTGTTCTTAGATGGTATCTCAACATGCATTGACTTGTTCCGATTGATTGGAAGAAGCCAGCAGAGATTTTTGCAAGAAGGAACTCTGGATTCTTGTGGAAAGTTGATGTGTCTTGCAGCTCCTTAAGTATCCTTGGTTCTGTTCCAGATGTTGATGTCCGTTGGGTTATATCAACGTTTTGTGGAGGACAAGATTCATCAGTTCATTGACCTTTGTTCCTTGAGCAACGTGAGTCACACCCATACAACAAAAGTCAACACCTCCGGTCAGATTGTGTGTTTCCCAACTTGGCCAATTTCAGATGTGGGGACTTTTCTGTGCTTCTCTTACCCACTCCTTCTTTTAGAGCTACCTACTCTTCTGCCTTTTAAGATCAGATCTCAGCTCAGACAAAGACGTTGCAACCTGCTTTTACATTTCCAAGAAAAGCGGGCCGCGATAATGTAGTGCAACTATTAATAACGCCCTGATAATGAGGGCAGGGGGAGTTCTAGCTGAAAAAGTCATTTCATAATTGGGGGTTCCACCCCCACCCCTAATGTATGCTGAGCGAGGCTAATTTGCCCTTCAGGATGTCTTAATTTGCGCTTTTTACATGGCCGAATGTTCATTACGAAATTCTTTCGTTTTTAAAGCCCTTTTCAGCTGATTCGTGTCCGCTTTTAATTGCTTACCTGGGGTATTCTGGTGCAAGCTTTAAGGCTTTGCTTTGAGCCATTTTAAAAAAAAACATTTACATGGCTTTCTAGGCTGGTTTTTAAAAGGTGTTCCAAGCCAACCTGCGGGGGAAATGTGTTAATTCTTAACATAAACCAGATGCGTTTGGAAGTGTTCTTATTTCCCTGTAATACGGACCTTTCGTTGTAATCCCTGCAGGTGTCGGTCTTCATCCTGACACACAGATGCTACGGATTCTACATTCACGGGCGAAGCATCCACGGACATGCAGATGTGAGCTTGGACACAATGCTCTCTTATCTCAGGAAGGAGGAGGTAACGCTGGGCCCTCTGGTCTCTGGTTCTTCATCTTTCTTCTGACAGTCCCTTGCAGGATTGTATCATTGCCTTGGGCCCTTCTCAAGGTGAAAGAGCCTGGAGGTTACCTGCAGCTTGGTCCTTCAGGTGAAGACAGGTCTTCATCTCCTTGCTCCCCCTTTTTTTTTTAACCTTCTAACACATTTCCAAGTTGGCTGCTTGGAGTGGGGGAGAGGAGGGAAGGAGGGGATGGTTTTCTAAGAGAAGCAGGTGAGCAACCGTTACTCGTGCAATTGGGGCCACGAGCACTCGCACGTGTGGGGCCGCGAGCCCCTGTGATGCTCACACGAGTGGGGCTGCAAGCCCCCTGACACTCGTGTGAGTGGAGCCCGGTTGCAAATAGGCTGTGGCCCAGTAGTGGCTCATGACCCACAGGTTGGGAACTCCTGTTCTAATAATAAGGAGGATTCATTTGTGGTCCAGCCCCATGGAAGTGTGGAAGGAGAATACCCAACCCATTAACATCCTTGCTTTGATTTCTCCTCAATGCTTCTTCTGACCCTCAGAGCCATCATATCCAAAAGCCACTGGTTGACGTCCATGAATTTATCTCGCTCTTTCAAAGTAGCTGAATTGGGGCTTCTTGGTAGCCATCTGGATGTAGCAGAGAGTTGGGAAGAGGAACCATTCTCTTCTCTGAAACATCAACTCCAGTGGTGCCTTCTTCTCAGACAACAGTGTTGATTCCTGAAAACATCTGGGTTTATTCTCCTCTTTCCTCCTCCTCCAACCTTCCTTATGTGTCATCTCTTCTGCTTATATGAGCACAAGATGCAGAATAACAGATTTAAGTCAGAGGAACGCCGGCATGGGCTAAATATTAGGGGGGGGGGAAATTGGTGTTAAAAGCAGATGGATACCAAGAGAAAGACCCAAGAGCAGGTGTCAGCAACCTGTGGCTCCGGAGCGGCATGCGGCTCTTTGGGCCCTCTGCTTGGCTCCATGTCAAGTGATCCCACCACTGGCTGGCCCGTCCCCTCGCCCTCCCCTCCCAGTCACTCCTTGCCTGGCCTGAGAAGGTAAGGGTGACGTGGGGTATGGAGAAGCGGCCAGGGCAGAGACAGAGAGATACAGAGAGAGAGGGAGAGAGAGAGGGAGAGAGGGGGGGAGGGAGGGAGGGGGAGGCAGAGAGAGATGTCAAAAGGGTTTTGTGATTCCCAGTGTTTTTTAACAACCAGTTCTCTGTCCTAATGACTGGCTGGGTAGGCGTGGCCAGGGGGGTGTCATGTGACTGGTATAAGTGAGTGATGTCGAGTTGGCCACACCCACCCAGGTTTTGTGGCTCCCGGTATTTTCTTTTCTGTGGGAAATGGGTCCAAATGGCTCTTTGAGTGTTTAAGGTTGCAGACCCCTGCCCAAGAGGAATGGTGAACTTCTTTTCAGCGAGTGTGTGCAAACAAAGGCTAAACAGCCAGTTCTTACGGATACTTTAATCTGGATTCTTTCACTGAGCAAAAACATTCCAATTTAAGAGTCCCGTAATTTAAATCTGCAAAATTGAAGCGAGGACTAGGGAATTGGTAAACACAGAAATCTTTACTGTGTTCGTGTGTTTCCACTGGAACTTTTCCCTTCCTGTTGGTTTTCTTCCCAGGACAACCTTTGCCCCCTGAGGGGCTTGGAGCCCAATTCTGAGGTGCAGACCTTCGAGGTGTTTCTCACTGACCGGACTCGGACGTTCTACGACAGAATCCTCCTCTCATTAATGGAGGTAGCAGACCTTGCAATATTTTCTTCTTAATTGCTTTTTCAGAAACGCTGCACAAGCTTCCTTAAGAATGATTTACCTATCCTTCACGGCAGAGAGGCTCGGTGATCCATCTCATAAAGGCCCATTTCCTTATCTGCCATCCTCCAGAGATGATGGGGCAGAAATTCCACACACTTGATCTCAGCCAAAAGGCCGAGACATTCCCAATGAACATCGTTCAAGTGCTCGAAATCTGTCTTGAAACGCAAACATTTTTCTCCTTGGTTAATCTGCGAGGGGAAGCTGTGGATGCAAGTAATGAAGCACCGAATTGCTATATTGTGACATCCCTTGCCTTTTGTTATGTCCATGGTGTCATGCATAAGAGGCAGAGATTGTGATGCAATGACACACATTTTGTCACATCTCATGCTGGTGAACTCATAATCCTTTTAGCTCTGCAGGCTCTGAAGAGCTCTTTCCATGTTAGCTTAGAAGCGAAACCCTTGCCATATGAATTAGAAGCTGCTTCTTTGTAATCCTTCCGATTAAATAGGGAACAAAATTGTTGTAAAAGCAGTTCTGATGCACTCCTGGGGAGAATAGGGCTAATTAATTAGCAATCGATTATTAATGCGCAGGTGAGGAGACAGCTAGCCTGAAACAATAAGAAGGAAGCTTCTACTGAAAGGCACAGTAGCTCTGAAACTCTCCCATTCAGCCTCCTTCAGTGATGGGGATTGTTGAAAGTTAGAGCTATAAAAAGATATTGAGGTTACTGAGAAAAAAGATAAAGAGTGGCAAAAACCTTGTGCATGTTTTTTTTTTTGTCCAGGGCGGTCAGAGAAAAAAATGAGCATTTCCCAACTAAACATAGAAGTGTTTAATACTGGATTTATTGTGCCAGGGGTTTTCTGTGCCCTGAGAGGACCTCTTGAAGCATTGGGTAGCCGACCGTGGAAACAGATGCTCCTATAAATCTATCTAGCTCTTGGGTGCCACAAAACCGTGTTGTTGTTTTTTATTTCTTAAAAGTGAACCTTGGTTGAACTTTCTGGGTTTAGCTCCTTCAAGGAACAGTGGCTGAGCGTAGCCGACCTGTTTTCTCACTTTCTACTTCACTTTCTAATTGAAAACTCCCTCTGGGGCCGGAGATGAGTTTTCAAGCGCAGGCAGGTGAAAATTGAACTGACATTTCTCCTGCTGAAGGGAAGATCCGAGTGAAATAAATCAATTTTTCACCTCCTTTTCACCAGTGCCTACCAAGGGGCAGGCTTGAACTTTTAAAGTCCATGAATGTTCTCCTTGTAGCATCAGAGAGGACTCCATAGTCGCCCTGATCTTCACGAGCAGAGGATGAAAGGCTACCATGCGCTGAATTGGTTCCTGGTCTCCTTCTTGGAACATGTGAGTCTTCACCCACATTTGGCTAAACTCTTTCCAGACCACGGGTGGTGATTTGTTCGCTCTGTCCTTCTCTTGAGTTCAGCAGCTGGAAAAGAGCTCTAAAGATGGTTTGAGGGGAACATTGGGTCCAAGTCAAGAGAGGCCAAAGATGGTCAACGGGATTCTTAGGTGTGTGAGGCATTGCGTGATCTTCCCCATGGCAGCCACTTGGAATTTTACATTCTCTTTTCACCAAAACTGTATTCTTTTTTAAAAAATGTAATGGAGTTCATATTAGTAGATTAATTTAATTTGTCCAATTATCATAGCCACCCACTCCAGAAGAATTAAACTCTTTTTGAAACATTTTTAGGCTCCTTGGGGAAGAAGAAAGGAAGAATAATAATAATATTGACAAAAAAATTGACACCACCAGTCAATTGCAAAAGGCAGCTTGACTTGGAACATTACATCCCAGGACCTTTAATCCCATCAAACAACCATATCTGCCAATCCCAGATCCTTGGGAAGGACTCAATGGGTGGATAAAATTGCGAAGTCTAGTCTAAACATCTGGCTGACTGTGCAGTGACACATAATAGAGCAGCTCTTATTATGTCTACTCTGAATAAGATGTCCTCTCTACAGAATCGTTTCCCTTTTAATCAGTCCTTTCTCTAACCGCTTCTCATTCTGTCCCCATCTTTAGAGGTATAAAGACATGGACTACATAGTGAAGGATAAGTTTTTCTCAGAGAGGATCATGGACTTGGAGTTTCAAGAGCCAGGAGACTTCTCGATTCTCTATAACGGTACCCATCGTGCTCCTTCCTATGGGAATCTAGATTTAAGGGCTGGCTCACTTGATTCAGGATGTAGATGAAGGTGAGCTTGAACCCTCAATTATCTTGCGTGATGGTCTGAGCTTAGCTCTGGTGACTTTCTCCTTCAGATGACGGTGCGTTGTTCAGCCGGACGCTCTTCTACGGCCACGAACTACTGCTCCTTCTCTTTGAAACCCTCCTGTTCTGCGCTGTGGATTTCGGGGCACAGAATTTTGTGCTCTCAACTATTGTTACCTTTGTTGTGCAGAAGGTAAATGTTTCTAGATAGAGAGGAAATAGTAGAAAAATGCCATTTCCCTTCATTTTCTTAAAATTAGGCATGATGTAGCACGAGGCAGATAAAGTTTTCTCCCCCAAAGTTTGCTTTTGATGCATCGGAAGATCGGCTGCCATGCCATGTGTGAGTGATAACGCAACTCCTGGGAGTGTTAAAGGCCTGAGTGAGATGTGAGATTGAATCTGGCAACCTGGCTCGAAATGTCGTGTGTGAATTGAGGAAGCTGTGAGATGGGTTTACGTCCAATCGGCATGCATCTCGGCCAGCCGTGCACGCTGACCCAGAGCTACCAACACCAGCTTGATGGCGGCATTCAGTAAACACAGCCAGAGGTCTAACGAGGCGGTTCTCGTTGAGTTAATTTGCTTTTTCCTGGCCGCTTTGGAGAGAGGGAAGAGGAGAGTCAGCTGCCCGGAGGACAAACGGAGGCCCGTCTGTGTTTCAGCTTGTGCAAATGGTGCGCGACGCGCTCGGAAGGCGAAATCTAGCGGAGAAGACCTTGGTGGATAAACAGTTCCTGATCTAAGAGCCGCCACCGAGTCCTTCCATGTGGGAAGAGGAGATCCCGCTGGCCAGGCAGCCGATGCGCTTGCAAAGAATCCCAGCCTAGGAGGTTTCCTCTTTTAGGGAAGAAAATGTCTGAATGGTTCTTATTTCCAGGATTCTCACTCAAAGCATGTGAAAGAGTGAGGATGGGGGTGGGGGGAGGGATATTTTCCCAGGGGGCCACAAAACCTGATGCCTCTGCTTGAAAGTTTGGAGGGCCATGTGCTTCTGTTTGTAGGCTCAGCACATTCCCAGTAAAATTACAGAGAATCCTCAATTTACAACCATTTGTTTCGTGACTGTTCCAAGTTACAACAGCACTAAAAGAAAAGTGATTTATGACTTTTACGATTTATGACTGAACTGCTGCTATGCTGGCTGGGGAATTCTGGGAATTGAAGTTTATAAGTCTTAAAAGTTACCAAGTTTGGAGACCCCTGGCTCTACGGAAGACTAGAAACCTGCACGCTTGTAAACCCTTATCTTACGTGTATGAAAACCAGCTTTTGAAAGTGTGACCTCCATGGACACTTCCCAAACGAAAATAAAAGGATGCACTTGAAAACAAAGGCTTTTATTGTGATGTCAGGTTTGGGGGTGCAGAACAGGGAAAGGGTACTGAGCTGGAGGAAAAGCTTAAAGGGGCAAAGAAAGTTTGCCGAGGAACAAAAAACGTATAATTTCACGAATGGAGAAATTCGTCAGGGGGTCCTGCTGGCCACCTGCCAGATCTGGGGGTGCTTAGCGGTGCTGAAATCTTGGGCCTGCTCTTCTTCAGATCTTCCTTCAGTCTCCAGAAATGTCAGTTTCTGGAGCGTGGTAGGGACACTCTAGAGGTGGGCAAAGAGAACCATGGTTACATTATGTGAGCACAAGCCACGATTGCTGTAACGATCAGTACGAAAGCCGTGTTTTGATCAGTGGTGGGATTCCTCCCCCACCCCAAAACATCTCATCTCATGGGCACCCCACGTTGGTCAACGGCTCTTCTGGGTAACTCCACCACTCCAGTAGGTCAGATTCCTGACCTGCAGTACAGGTAATCCTCGATTTATGACCCCAATTCAGCCCAAAATGTACGTCGTTAAGTGAGGCATTTGTTAAGTGGCTTTTGCCCCGTTTTACGACCTTTCTTGCTATGGTTGTTAAGCGAATCATTGCAGTTAAATTAGTGACGTGGCTGTTAAGCGAATCTGGTTTCCCCATTGTCAGAAGGTCACAAAAGGGGATCACATGACCCCTGGGACACTGAAACCGTCATAAATATGAGACAGTTGCCAAGCATCTGAATTTTGATCACGTGGACATGATCATACTGCAACGGTCATAAGTGTGAAAAATGGTCATAAGTCCCTTTTTTCAGTGCCATTGTAACTTGAAACAGTCGCTAAACGAACTGTTGTAAGTCGAGGACTACCTGTAGCTGACTTGAAGCCACTACCTTAGATCTCAAACTTAGATCTCTTTTCCTCCACCCACAACCTGGTTTTGTAACCTAAGATCTACTTGCTCAACCATAAATCTAAGTCTGGGCCCTTGCTGAAATTAAGATCCCGCCATTTTGCAGGCATTTCCTTCTCCTGCTATGGGAAAGGGGCCTGTTTTTCTACCTCAGGACTGAGGACTTCTTTGGAGTTTGTCTCAGTAGAGATTTGGGGTTCAGGGGGTTGTTGGAGGGGACGTAATTGTGGGGGGAGCTTTCCAATGGGCACCCCACCTTCCACTGCTGTGAAACAGTCCTGCTTTTCCCCATTCCCCCCATCTGGAAAAAGCCCCCTGAGGGAAAAAAAATCCCCTCAGAAGGGCTTCTCTTAGGATCCCATGGAAGTTGGGGGAGGGGAGTCACATTTAGTCCTGAAGAGAAACCAAAGACCTGATTCCTTCCATCCAATTGAGTCAGAGTGGGTTAAAAACACAAAATTATTATTCTTCACTAGCTTCACACAACCCCACCCGTAATCTGGATGGAACAATGCTGGCTTAACAGCTTTAATTCTGGCTTGAAAGCCTTCATTGTGGGTCTACTCGGGAGCAAGCATTGGCTCCTAGTAGGCCTTCTTGCCAATCAGCCTTTAACCAGCAGCAGCTGCTGCTGGGTGGAGACCAGAAACCTGCTCCAAGCAACTGACAAACATCGGTAAGAGCTGCTCTCCTCATTCTTTAGACTGCATTTCTTGGTGGGACCTAAGACGGTTGATGATGGTTTGTTTCCTGGGTCTGCTTCTTGTTCCTTGCCCTTTGGGGTGACAGTTGACTCCTTTTTTTCCATAATTTATTTTTGCCCTCTGGGTTTTTTCCCTGTGACCCACAGTGTAGGCTGTACCTACACAATACCTAGTCGTCTTGTCCCAAAAGTGCTTTTTCAAATGGCAACTGGACTTTCTGGTTTTTCTTTGAAGACGTTTCGCTTCTCATCCAAGAAGCTTCTTCAGCTCTGAAGAAGAAGCTCTGAAGAAGAACTGAAGAAGCTTCTTGATGAGAAGTGAAACATCTTCAAAGAAAAACCAGAAAGTCCAGTTGCCTCTTGAAAAAGTATCCTTGGGACAACATGATCTGGGTGATGGGAGAACCTCCATAAATATCTAGTCTTCTTGAACCTCTCTTTGGGTCCTTGAAATGCCAAAATGCGTCCTTCTGCCCTTTCCTGGGGATTTTTCTGTCCCCACAGTAGTCCTTCCTCACCCAAGGCAGGTTTTGGCAACCAAGTTGCCTTTCCTCACCTGTGCTCCTGTGGACCATGGAAGGCTGGAGGTTGGGTTGGTGGCAGTGGCTGGTTTGGAGTCAGGGAACCTTCCGGAAGCAAGTTGTATTTTTGCTCTGAAATCCTGTCAAGGCAAGAATCTCATTTTGAGGAGGCCAGCAAACACGTTGGAAGGATGAATCCCACTTTTGAACCCTGGGGAATTCTGGGAGTTGAAGTCCACGTATCTTAAGAGTGGCCAAGGTTGAGAAACACTGATCTGTATGTTGGGAAGTTGGCAAGAGGTTAGACGCCCAGGGATGGTTCATAGTTTGGCTATATTGATTACACGCTTGAACCTATAACTACTAAGTCTCCTGCTTGAGAAGAGGGTTGGACTACTACATCTCTAGGGTCCCTTCCAACCAGGGGTTAAATGCTACCGGTTTGCACCGGTTCGGGCAAACTGATAGCGGCAGTGGTGCGTGGTTTGGCGAACTGGTAGCGGCGGCAGTATGAAGCTCCGCCCACCCACTCAGACGTCGTTACTTCCTGGTTTTAACCAGGAAGTAACCTGTTTTTGACCCTCTGTGCATGCACAGAGGGTCCAAAATCGAATGTGATGCATGCGCACACACTTCCAAACCGGTAGGGAAGATAAGTAGATTTCACCCCTGCTTTCAACCCTATGATTCTATGGCCTAACATCAAGGAGCAAGGATCACTTTGGATCAGACACTCAAGGTCTCTCCTACAGTAGCTTCTACTGAAGATAAAATGAGGGCGGGATCTGCCTTTGTACACCCCCTTGACCCTCTTAGAGAGGTGTCTCATACAGTAGTCCTCGAATTATGACCACAATTGAGCCCAGAGTTTCTGTCATTAAGTGAGACACTTGTTCAGTGAGATCTGCCCCATTTTCCGACCTTTCTTGCCATGGCTGTTAAGTGAGTCCCTGCAGTTGGTAAATTAGTCACACGGTCGTTAAGTTGAGAACTACCTGTTTAAAAAATTCCCAATCGGGAGCAATGCAAACCAGAACGGCTCCCCTTTTGTGCAAATGTTGGCGATGGAAGTTTAGCAACTTTGTGCTGTTGCAGGAGTGACACCAAGACCCACAAATGGACACCACTGAGTCTCTGTGTTTTCCCACCATTCGGTACCTCAAAATCTTTTTCTGAATCGTAATTTTCCAGAGTTTGGAATGCTTGGGAATAAACCTCCAGAGCTTTTGCATGGAACGCCATCTCGATGCCGATGAAATCCAAGAAGATCTTCTGTAAGGCAAAGAAGCAGCAGGGCCACGAAATGTGAGTCTCGGTGGTCTTTTTAATTCCTCTGACAGTCTCTTTGTAAATAATGGCTGGCATATTTGAAAGCGTCCATTTTCTCAGCTTCACTAGAACTGGACTCAATAAGTCATTTGGGAAGTGTCCTTTTCCTCCTGAAGTTTGGTGAGCGAAAATTGATCATCTCTCTATCCCCCACTCTCTCTTTATCTATCTATCTATCTATTTATCTATCATCTATCTATCTATCTATCTATCTATCTATCTATCTATCTATCTATCTATCTATCTACTATTCTCTCTCTCTCTCTTTCTTTCTCTCTATCCATCCCAGTGCTACAACATATATGTATATTTCTTTTCAGTGTTCCTGTTTGCAATTTCCAAGTTGCCAATTGACAAGAGATAGTTTCCTTTAGCAGCTACACTAACTTCCTGTTGGTGAAAAGAAATGAAGCTGAATATTGAATTTTTTATTCATTCCCCCCCAACAATAGTCAAATCCAGTAATAATCAAGCATTGCAGTATTTATGATTAGGTCAATACGTTTAGGTTAATTATAGCAATATGGATTTTTCTCAATTTTTATGTGAGACTTCCCACAGGGGTCTATCATGCTGTTTTTGTTGTACTATATTATGTTCCATTCTAATCCTTTGCAGAAGGCAATTAAAGGCAATATTTGATGTTTTATAAGCTTCCCAGAGTAATTTTGGAGTTGAGCGCTCTTAATCAAGATTTTTTTTTAAAAATGATATTTTTCAGCAAATAGGATTCCTCTAGGTCTGTTTGCTTAATATAATTTGCAATTTTAAAATGCAGCTATGATTTTTTTCTATTTTAAAAAAAATACTCTCTCTGTTGCTCTCTGGGTTTATATTGTGCATTTTCACAAGGTTGTACCCAGTCCCATCTGGACATGCTTTCATTTGGAAAAAAATGGGACTTTAGTGTCCACCAACTGCACAAATGATTAACAGTCTTAAAAGCTTTTGAAGCAGAGCCTAAACACATTACCTGGATATCTTTTAACTTCTTCCTCTGGAATTCATCTACGGTCTCTTCAAGCTGTTGAGTGGTCCGGCTTGCGTCCACCGAAGCTTTGTGTGCTTGAGACTCAACCTGGCCAAAAAGGAGTGGAAGATGGATGGAATGGTTGCCCAGAAACCCAGGGAGATATTTATGGGGAAAGTTATCACATCATCATGACTTTCTCCATCAATGGTACTGAGCAACATGGAAGAGGAACCCATTTTCCTAGCATCTCTCTAGATAAGCGTAGCTACTCTGGTACAAGGAAGCATCTCAAGGGCCTTGGCCCTGTCTCTTTTTGTGATGGGTCAAAAGCTTGACCTTCCTTCTGAGGACATCCAACAGCCAGGCCTTTTGAGGGCTTCATAAGGAGCTTCCTCACATCATATAGGGAAGCAGTTTGTTTGCTGTGGTTTCAACAGGACTACATCACTTTGAATGATTCTGGCTTGTTCTTAGAATATTGCTAAGGAGTTGCCCCATCTTTATTTTGAAGTGGAAGAAATACAGTACATATTTCCAATTCTTAGCATTACTGGAGTTAATTTTATACGTATGGTTTGAAACAGAAGCTTAAGCGAGTTCTGGATCAAATATCACTTTAATCCTGCTAAAATCTCTCTCACTCACTCTGTAGCTGGATTATTGCACTAACTACAGTTTGATTTGAGTGTTGTCCATTAGACAAGCCATGATGGTCTGTGTCACATAGAACACAAAGCTTTACAAAGTGACGTGACTCTATTCATGACTGTCCCTGCACTGTGGATTAGGAGTGGGTCATCTCAGTCTATATCTGCTCCTTCGCTCATGAACTTACATGAACGATAGAAAGTATCAGATGGGATCAATTTCCTGGGCCCTCATACAACCTCTGGAGAAAATGTGCAGAAGACATATTTTGTAAGAGCACATTTAAATTACTTTGCTTTAGCTCCCGAAAGAAAGGCAAATGCTTTTTCATGGATTGATTCGAATTTGAGACTTAGTGGTGTCTTTTGGCCAAGTCTACTCCAACCTGATAGCCCTCTAAAAGTTTTGTCTGGAGATTATTGAAAATTCCCATATCTAGAAGGGGCGCATAAAGTTACGGAAGAATGGCAGCATCTGTGTTACTTGGGGAGTCTTTGGGCATGTCTCCTTATTGGAAAAGTATTTTCAAAAAGAAATTGTTCAACTTCTCTTGTGAATATAACCTTGTGGGACACTGTGTCCAGTGGAGATGTATTCTGGAGAACGGCTCTTGTATCAAGGATCTCCATCTGTGTCTTTATTTTAACGATACTGCTGGGTCTTTGGTGGTCTTCTACAAGAAAAGAAACCCCTTACCTGTGACTGAAGATGATAGTCAAGGAGGCAAAACATTGAACAGGAAACAGAACGTTTGAGTATTGAAACTTTTTTCATCGTAGCAGTTCTGGCTGTGATAGAATCCGTCTTACCAAAGCTGGGCTAAGCCATCACTAAAATAAATGGTTTCTTTAGAACAAACTCATACATCATGCTTTGCAGTGTGCTGGTTCTTTCAGGTAGCTCGTACGGTTGATCTTTGAGGAGAGGAAGGAAGACTAGATCAGAAACAGTCTAGTAACAGCTCCTCCAGGGTCCTTTTTATGGGTAACACTGCCTTTGAACTGGTGTCTGGTCTCTTCCGAACTAAAACGGATAACATTGATCAAAGAAAGATAAATTGCAGAGAACTTGGCCATTCGGGGACTTCAACACGAGGGGGCAGCCACGTCCATGAATCTGTCACAGGAAGATTCGCCTGTGGAGCTTGGATGGAGAAACAGCAGGAGGAGACATTTCTGGGGTGGGGGAGGCAGAAGAAGGAGTAGAAGGTGGGGAGGTCATCTGAACAAGGATAGTCTGAAATGAAGGGAAACATTTGGTGAAAGGAGAGCGTAACCACATTTTGAAGAAAGGAAATGAGGGGCTGTAATTGTGTGGGCGTGTGGCTCCATCTGGCTGTCTACAGACTTTGTCAAAACATGGGAATGAATCCCAGAGCGAGCAGATTCAGAGCCCACGGTCGAAGCTTTCTCTGGTAATCCAGAAATGCTGGATGTTCCTTGCATGGTCATTTAGAATTACGGAGCAGCAGATTTGGCCCCTGAAGACCAAGCTGAACTGTTCCTCTGTAGAGGAAGGAACCAAAAGAGATGTGGCTGAAAAAGTGTAATCGGTATTCCAGGATCTGTGAGAATGGGATGGGAGGAGGCTGTTTTTCCTCCTCCTGAGAATATGATGGTGAAGATGGCAGAGGGATGACCATGAAGGCATCCAGAAGGTTTTAGGCAACCATGATGCGGAAGAAAGAAGCTCAGGGAAAAGAGACAGGAAGAGATTCTGGGTTGGTTCCCCACTGCCTCCTGGGGGGAAGGAAGGAAGGAAGGAAGGAAGGAAGGAAGGAAGGAAAGAAAGAAAGAAAGAAAGAAAGAAAGAAAGAAAGGAAGGAAGGAAGGAAGGAAGGAAGGAAGGAAGGAAGGAAGGAAGGAAGACAGACTTGCAAGATTCCCCTATTGTAACCTGATGTTTTCCAACTTAAGCAACTTTAAGATGTGAGGACCAAGTGGGCTGGGGAATTCTGGGAGTCGTGGTCCCCAAATCTCAAAGTTGCCAAGGCTGGAAAACACTCAATAAATCTCAATCAAATAGAATTCAAGTCTTCCTGTTGAATCTATTCCTGATCTAGTCTATCTCACCAAACTGCTAGATTGGCCCTAGGAAAAGAGAACATGTTGGTTTATCAGGTGTTTGCTCCTTTCCCATCCAATAATGATGGGTAATCCATGCCACCATCTGTCTCCCTTCCTGCTCTACCGTCTCCAGGTGTCTTTCTCCCTTTCCCTGTGTTGTTATTTAATTCATGCACCTTTACTTTGTACAACTCAAGACAGTGTACCTAATACTCTCTCCTCTCCTGTTTTCCCCACAACAGGTAGGTGTTGAGTTATTGAGGGGTTGAGAGCAAGGGGCTGACCCCAAAGTTAACCACCTGGCTTCCCTGCCCAGAGGAGAAACAGAGCAGAACTCACTTCCTCCTGATTTCTAATCCGGCATCTTTACTGCTAATACCAAATTAGCTCCTACCTGCTCTGCCCCCTTCCAGAGGATTTTCCCAAAGGATTTGCTACCTTTAATTTTGGTCCCTCTCTCCCCCTCCCTCCTTCCCTCTCTCTCTCTCTTTCTCTCTCTCTGTTTCTCTCTGCCTCTCTTCCCCTCACCTCTCTGTGTCTGTTACTACAGGAATTTGGTTCTTCAATATCCCGCTTAAAATATCTGCAGGAAGAAGCATGATAAAAAAAAAAACAATTAAAAAAAATCTCTCAGGATTATCCTGTGGTGTCTTTCCCCAGCAAGATCTTATCCGCTCCCCTCCCGTAGGTTTAATATTTCATGAAAGAAGGTGACTGCCATTCTCACTGGCATTTTAAAGATGTGGATGCTAAGAAGCTGTTTTGATGACAATCGCCCCAAGGAATTTGCAGGAAAATCTTAAGGTTTTTTTATCACTCTGAAGGTGAAGAGGGAGAATTTTGATTGGCTTCACAAAAACAGGCTTGGAGATAGATGTTAGGAAAACAACTAGTGTTTGTGGGGGTTTATCTTCAGTTATCTCTCTCTTGTGTGTGCGCTTACAAACCTCCTTCTGAGCCTTCTGCATACATGCAAAGGTTTCCTGTCTCAGCCTAATAACCATGTTCCTCGGCTAAAATCTAGAACAGCAGAAAGCATCTGACTTAACTAGGATTCTGTAGCATATTTTTAATCCCTTGTTTTAGCTTTGTAGCCCTGCGATACATAAACATGGGATGGGGGAATTATTTAATTTGCATCCGGATGTAAACGTCTTTAATTTTGCATTTCAAATTAGAATGCAAATCCAAAACCTAGTTAACGTGCGGATTTAGGTTTCCTCAAAGTATAGCTGTTCGGTTCAACATAATATATTGTAATGTAATGTGCGCAAGGGAAGGTTGCAAAAAAAAAATGCATATATTTATGAAAATGTGGCACAGAAGCATTCCTGCAGAGATGAAATTTGAATCGCCAGGCAACATTGCAAGCAAAACAAAAACAAAAAAACCAGCAGTTTGGAAAAAGGTGAACCAAGGTGCACCCATTATTGTGTGAAGTTTAGGAAAGATCTGGCCAATTCAGACGTGGAGCAGAATTGAAAAAGACCCTGCTTGACAATATTTGCAAAAAAACGAGAAACTAAAACCGACAGCTTGCCCATCTGCGAGTGAGGTTTGGCACCTCTGGGTATTAAACTATGTCCCTGTGGTTTTTCACTCGGCTTCTCAGGGCTGCTGGTAGCAATCTAGAGAAATTAATTGTCTATTGGCATTCCTCGTTTGAGGGATATTCCCACCCACCCCCCACGTCTGTTTCCAATCGTTTCGGCTGCTTTGTGGATAGTTTTCGGAAGAAATCATTTTGGTAACACAAACCTCCCTCGGCAAAAAAAGAAAACTCTTAAGTTGGGCTTCTTGGTCTGGTTGTCCTTGGGAAAATCTGAATTCAGTGATTTTGGGGTATCGGGGAGACTGGGGTATATTTGGTCTCTGGGGTCCACGCTGGAGGTGGTTGCTGGATTGATGGCAGACCCCCCCACAGACCCCTCACTCTCTGCACTCCACCCTTCCATCCATCTTTTTGGTTAACATATTGATGTATAGATAGCCGTCGATTTGCAATAAATTTTTCTGTTGCTAAGTGAGACAGTCGCTAAGTGAGTTTTGCCTCATTTTATGACCTTTCTTGCCACAGTTGTTCAGTGAATCATTGCGGTTGTTGAGTTAGTAACACGGTTGTTAAATGAATCTGACTTCTCCATAACTTTACACTTGGACTCTGAAACCATCATAAATATGAATTAGTTGCCAAGCATCCGAATTATGATTATGCATCAGTCATGTGTGAAAAACAGTAATAGGCCACTTTTCTTGGTGCTGTTGTAACTTTGGTCACTAAATGAACTGTTGTAAATCCAGGACTACCTGTATCATTGTCCTTGTATTCTTTTTTATTGTCTATTTTATGGGTTCGATTATTTTGCTTCTGTTTTAAACCCCTTTCATTTTCTTCATTATTACGGTATTCTAAGCCGCCTAGAGAGCCCCACGGTGAGAGAGTTGGCAAATAAATTTAATAAATAAATCAGTGTTTCTCAACTTTGGCAGTTTGAAGATGCGTGGAACTTCATCTCCCAAGAATTCCCCAGCCAGCATAGCACCGCATCGCTCAGCATAGCTGGCTGGGGAATTCTGGGAGTTGAAGTCCACACATCTTCAAAGGTTGAGAAACACTGAAGTAAATAACAGTAAATACATTTGCAGAAGCCAAAGGAGAATTTGACCCAATTATGTTCAGCCAAGGATACAATCATATGTTGATTGGAGGGTGCCTTGTGTCTGGTTTTCTCCAGCTTCTCTAGCTGCTTTATTTCAGTCTTCCGGACTTTGCTGAAATTTTTAATCTCGGCCTGTCAAAGGCAAGAAAGGAAAATCTGTGTGAGGTGATACAGCTCAATATATCTGAGTGGCGTCTTTGCAGATGGACATGTTGGGCAAGCCTGGTTTGTAAGCCCAGGCTTTGTAGTTTGTTGAGTTGTGTGAATTCAAGCAGCTATGGTTGATTCAAGAAAAATGGTGAAGAAAACCAGGTAAGGAAGGAACTGTGGTTTGGAGTGCAGGGCAAAAGTCAGTGAAAAGTACATCTTCAGTAGAAGAGAATATTTGTAGCTCAGGGTTGAACGGTGGGCTCCTTGGTGCTCTCTGAGCTTGGTTCTTTTCTTGCAGAGGTTTCACAAGCCAACTAGGTAATAGCATCAATGCTGGGAAGGAGGGAGGTGTGAGGAGAGGAGGACTGTGTGGTCCTTGGTGCTCTCTGAGCTTGGTTCTTTTCTTGCAGATGTTTCATGACCTGATTAAGTTACCTAGTTTGGATCATGAAACATCTGCAGGAAAACAACCAAGCTCAGAGACCACCAAGGACCCCATAGTCTTCCTCTTCCTCCTCTCCACAAACCTCACTCCTTTTAGTGCTGATGATGTTACCTAGTTGGGTTATGAAACATCTGCAAAAAACCAAGTTCAACGAGCATCAAGAACTTACATATTTCATCACCATCACTGCTCCATCCTTGGACCTTCTGATTAAGCAGGACGGGGGGAATGCCCTGAATGACGCATCCAGCTCAGCTCTCTATCTGGGCCCTGGTTCTGCTGTTGTCAGCTCGATGCAGGGGTGCTAAAAAAAAGAGAGGTGAATTGCTTACCTTGGCTTGTTTGATGAGCACTCCATACACCTTGAGAGGCTCAACGACCTTCTGTTCCAGCCGCTCCACCTAAATGAGAAATTGCGTTGGCCACTATTCAGAGGTCGCCGTCCGCCGGCGGACACTCTTGAGTGACGTCCTACTAAAGAAACAGCTCAGCAGTTGGCTCGTGGCCTCCTCTCTGCACTGCAGCTTGCTACTTAACAGCTGCACTCCAGATGTGTCACGCCAAAAATTGGCTGGGAACTTTGGCAGTTGTGGTTAGAACAGTCTAAAGTCATATTGCTCAACACTGGCTACTTTAAGATAGGTGGACTTCAGCTCCCTGGCTGGGGAATTCTGGGAGTTGAAATCCACAAGCCTTAAAAGTTTCCAGGTTTGGACACCCCTGTTCTAGAGCCATATTGCTCAACATGAGCTACTTTAAGATGGGTGGGTTTTGGCACCGGAAAAATTGGCAAAAATGTTTAAAGATAAATCAGCTAAATGTTGGAAATGCCATCAGATACCAGGATCATATTATCATATGTGGTGGACATGTCCAGAAGCAAGAAACTATTAGGTAAAAATTCAAACATGGTTAGAGGAAATGATACAACAACATATTGATTTAAAACCTGAACTGTTCCTATTGGGTATCTTACCGGAGAAATATAGTAAAGAAAATATTTATCTGATTATACATGTAATAACTGCAGCGAGGATAGTATTTTCACAAAATTGGAAAGCAGCGCACTGAAGACGTCTCCTTGAATGGGGATGAAACGTTTGCAACCAGATTGGAGCCAAGCTCAGAGCTCAAACCAACAACATAACTACCAACCCGAGCTACTAATATTCAAAGACATTTCAGTACATAATGGATTTCTACCATGTTTCCCCAAAAATAAGACTGGGTCTTATATTAATTTTTGCTCCAAAAGACGCATTAGGGCTTATTTTCTGATTAGGTTTTATTTTGGGGGAAATACAGTACTAAATGCATCCATCTGGCTGATAATCTTAACTGGGGCTTATTTTGGGGGGTAGGGCTTATATTACGAGCACCCTGAAAAATCATGCTAGGGCTTATTTTACGGTTGGGTCTTATTTTGGGGGAAACAGGGTATTGCCAAATTCACCTCTGCTTGCCTGTAGTCCTGTACTCTGGCCAGATCCTCGGCGAAATTCTTCACCGTCGTCCGCAGCTCGGGATTTTCCGTGTTGGCATAGTCGATGAGCTTTTTCACCAAAATATCAGACTTGTCCCGAAGTTTGGCAGTCTTGCGGGTATAAGCCGCCATCAGGCTGCAGAAGCTGCCGAAGTATTTCTCGGCATTGGCAATTGTGGTCTCCATGATCTGCACTTGGGTGTCTCTGGAACAGAGGAACAAGACATAATTTTATTTATTTTTTTTAGCTTGGGTTTATCTGAAACAGGAAGTAATTTCTTTTTAAAAAATCTTCGTTATCTGTCCAACTTCTGGTAATCCTCAATTTACGACCACAATTGAGCTGAAAATTTCCACTGATAAGGAAGACAATAGTTATGTGAGTTTTGTCCCATTTTATGACCTTTCTTGCCACGGTTGTTAAGTGAATTCCTGCAGCTGTTATGAATCTGGTTTCCCCATTGACTTTGCTTATCAGAAGTTTGCAAAAGGGGATCATATGACCTTGGGACACTGCAACTGTCATAAATATGAGTCAGTTGCCAAACGTCCAAATTTTGATCACGTGACCCTGGGGATGCTGCAACGGTCATAGAAGAGTGAAAAACGGACATCAATCACTTTCTTCAGTGCTGTTGAAACCGAACAGTCATTAAACGAACTGTTGTAAGTCAAGGATTAACTATTTATTTATTCATTCTTTCAACTTATATGCCACCCAATAACAAGATTCTTGTAGAGTTACATGTTTGTCACTTGAGATGGAGGCTGGCATGGCAAGTCAAGACCAGGCAACTGACCATTGGTGAAAACAGGGAAATGCATGAGAAATTGGACACTGGCCATAAAGTAGGAAGGTTGGGGCTACCAGTTGACCATGGACCATCCATCCATGGAAAATCCCTGATCTAGAAGTAGATGCGAATGAAATCCCTCCTGCTTGCAGATCTTCCGTAGATGGTTTCCTCCAGACGTGGCTTTTTCTGCTGCCCTCTGGAGGGGGCCATGAAGGCAGCTTTGGGGTGGGGGGCTGCTGTGGGACATCTGGATTCAATTGACTCCCATGTGGATGTTTTGTTATGGAGGGAAGGGGTTTTTAGTAGCTGCAGAATTTCCAAATAGTGAACGTAGTGTATCCATGGGTCAAGACGAAAGAGTTTTGACCTTAGTTGCTACCTTTTGTCATGTATAAGAGCCGTGGTGGCGCAGTGGTGAGAATGCGGTATTGCAGGCTAATTCTGCTGATTGCCAGCAGTTCAATCCTGATTGGTTCAAGATTGACTCAGCCTTCCATCCTTCTAGTAAAATGAATATCCAGATTGTTGGGGGCAATATGCTGACTTTGTAAACCGCTTAGAGAGAGTTGTAAAGCACGGTGAAGCAATATATACCGTAAGTCTAAGTGCTATTGCTATATTTTCTCCTGTCCTTGTGCCCAACATTTTCTTCACAACTCTCACCTTTCCTTCTGAACCTCCATTCCCCAAATCATGCACTAGGTCTTGTTGGCTTCACAACTCTTCTTCTCTCCTAGTGATTATCCCAGGGCAGAAAATTCAATTCTTAGCTCCTTGGGGCAGATCTCAATCACCTATTGCCTCCATCGATACTGCCCTTTTAAGTGACAAAGGCACCAGAGAGACTTCCACCAGAAGTTCAGCCTCCCACCGCCAGATCGTTCTGCTTGCACAGAAAATTCTGCATCTCCAACAAGCAACGCTTAAGCCTGTTTTGCAAGAGGGAACCTTTTTAATTAGCGTAACCCCCCTGTCTTACCTGAAAAGAATGACATTCATGTTTGCAGGGGAACTTAGCCAGTCTTTGCAGCAGGGAACACGGGGAAGGGAGAGCTGCACCCTTGTCTTCTCAGGTGCTGCTCCTGACCTGGTTGGTATGGCAACCCCATCAACAAAGATCTCCCCAAGGGGAAGGGAGTGGTTTCCTTGTTTCCATGGATCACAGATTCTTGGAGGCAGATAATTTACTGAGCTGGGCTTGACTGAATATTTGTTTAAGACGGCGCACCATGTGGATCAACCCTGCTGGTTCTTTGTTTTTGTTTTTTGGTTCTGCTTGACTTTGTCTGCCGTTGACCAATGTGAGAGTTCAATCTCGGTTCCCTTGTGTGGGCTTGGTTCCAGATGGCCTCCTGCATTGAGCAACGAGTTGTTTTCAATAAAGGAGAATATCTGTAGCTCAGAGTTGAAATGAGGGGTCCTTGATGATCTCTGAGCTTGGTGGTTTTCTTGCAGACGTTTCATGACCCAACTAGGTAATATCATCAATGCTACTGAGGTTCCTCCACCCCCCCACCCCAAAGGTACAAGGTCTCAAGGGAGCAAAATGACTCCTGATAAAAACAGAGCAGAGGGAATGTTAAAAGCATCAATGGAAAACTGTGGTTCTGGGGGAGAAATTGGGCTCACAGCTTAGCAGGTTTAGCTCCTGTGGTTGGAGGTCACATTTGGCCCGAAGTACAGAAAGGTACTCCCCTATTTGAGGAACTCAATCTCTCCCCTCACCACCCTTTGGGATGAAATGATAGGGTGGGATAGAAATGAAATCTTTGCGAGCTGTGAATCTTGAGATTGGCTTCACACATGCAAGTCAGTCTTGAATAATAATGCAGAACAAGAGAATTGGAGACTCCTTTCTCCTCATAGGGATTTGGGTCAATGATGGCCTAAACTGGGGCAGGTCTCTAAGGAGGAGGGGGGAGTCAAACAGGTCAAGCCACAGCCAGCTGCTCAAAACTCATCTCTTTTTGGTTGCATGGAGATGTAGAGGCCGAGGGTCTGGACTGAAGGGGCAGGAAGAACAACTGCTACCAAGACAACAGTTAGATAACAAGGAGAAGCCATTCCCCATTTCACCAAAAAATTAAAGGGAGGATGGAGAAAGCATATTCAGACTTGGAAGGTTCTGTTATTATTGCTTTAAAGTAAAAGTTAGTACTGTCTTATAATGCCTTGATAAAATGACACTTGGAATATTGCATCCAGTTTTGGTCACCACAATATAAAAAGAGACTCTAGAAAGAGTGCAGAGAAGAGCAACAAAAATGATCAGGGAAGCTAAAGGCTAAAACATGCAAAGAACAGTTGCAGGAATTGGCTATGTCTAGTCTAGTGAAAAGAAGGACTAGGGGTGACATGAGAGCAGTGTTCCGGTATCTGAAGGGTAACATAAAAGAGGGGGGGGGGGGGCAACTGAAGGCAGAACAAGAAACAATGGATGGAAACTAATCAAGGAGAGAAGCAACCGAGAACTAAGGAGAAACTTCCTGACAGTGAGGACAATTAACCAGTGGAACTGCTTGCCACCAGAAGTTGTGGTTGCTCCATCACTGGTCAGCCATTTGTCTCGAATGGTATAGGGTCTCCTGCTTGAGCAGGGAGGTGGACTAGAAGACCTCCAAGCTCCCAACTCTGTTAAACCTACATTACATTGGTTTCCTAATCTGACCTGCCTTGAAGGGGGCTGACAGAGAGTGGCTGCTATGTTGACTTTTTTTTTTTTGGCAACTCCCCCAGACACTCCTGACCCTGGGAACACCAGAGAGGGGCCTTATAAAGAATCGTGTCCCCTCAACTCCAGCAATTCTGGGGCCAGGAGAGGGCGGCCAAGAGCTTTCCGTGCAGTGGTGGTGGTGATGATTTTTGCCCTGCAAAAATTGTGGGCAAGAACTAAGGCTGGAAGGTTGCTTCCCCCACCCCCCACCATGCAGTATCCCCCCCCCTCTGAGAATTGGCCTATGCATGGCTAATTGTCAGCCAGGTGTCAAGCATGGATATTTAAAAGGATTTGTAGGAGGAGAGCTGGGCAGAAAATCTGGAGCAGTTGCTCGCATCTTTTCCAAATGCTGCTTCAAGGACGTCTGTTTTTGTAGTTAGCAGCAGTCCAACTGAACTCGAAGGACCCTGCTGCCCCTTTTTAATTCCCTGGATGCCATTTTAGGACAAGGAATATGCCCCGTTCTCCAAGGTCCAGCCATGGCCAAATCTTGGGAAATACGCTACAGCAACTCCTGGCTGGGACCTTCTGGCTACCAGCTGAGCCTGTGCCGGAGAGCAGCTGAAGGAGCAGTTAAGGCTCCAAGGGAAGTCGCAGCTGAGTCTAGATTGGAAGGAAGGACTTCCAGGCTGTTTGCAATTTATCTGCTAATCTCACTCTTGTCAGCTGAGAACAGGAACAGTTCCTCCTTACAAAAACAATCAAGCTGAAAACAATACCCTAATCAAGGAACTGCCAAGGAGAAAAACCGCACCCCACCAATGTGGGCGGGGTAAGCTACTGTAGATAAACAGGGGACAAACCCCACACTCGCCAGCACCGATGATGTTCCCTAGTTGGGTCATGAAACGTTTGCCAGAAAACAACCAAGTTCAGAGAGCACCAAGGACCCCAAGTCTTCCTCCTCCTCCTCCTCTTCCTCCATTCCACCAAGTCCACTCTCTTCTAGCACTGATGATGTTCTCTAGTTGGGTCACGAAACATCCGCAAGAAAACCACCCAGCTCAGGGGGCACCAAGGACCCCCATACTTCAACCCTGAGCTACAAATATTCCCTTATACCTTTGGGATTCCCTTATATTGGAGTTCCTAGTTAGCTCAGGGTTTCATTGTGTGAGCAAATCGCCAAGGTTCTCTGAGGCTGGCACTCTGACAAACTGCCCAAAACTGCAATGCGGGCAATGCCTTATTGTGTTGTCACTGACCTGTTCAAAACATCGGCTGAGGAAACGGCTGATGGGAAACAGCTTTCCTCCCTAGTACAAGGGAGCAAGAGAGGAGAACGTGTCTCTCACCTCTCCAGGTTCCCAAATGCATGCAAAGTTACAGCTAAAGGGTGAAGTTCCAATTAGTTATTGACTATCTACCAGCTAAAACCCTTCCCCCCCCCTTTTGTGTATGCCAGGTTGGACTTCTTGAGAGACTGTGTGTGTGTGTGTATGGACACTTCCACACACACACACAGCGTCAATCCAGCCTGTATGCACACCGCCTCCATAATCAGTCAAAGAAGAAAAGGTTTTAAACCCCATCTACGAAAGGATTGCTCTGTGTTGCTGATATCCTTGGGCAAAAAGTCCCGGGGAGGGAATGCTTGTATCTGCAGGCTGAAGGTTCTGATTGCTGATGTGGGTTTTCCGGATCTTAAATCCAGGCAGCGTCTTAGAGAAAACAGCCCCCCCCATTTCTTCTTGATTCTGTGAGTTGCAGAAACCTCAGTGGCCTTTTTGGGTTTCAGCAACACAATCCAAGGATTGATTGTATGTGCCTGGGGAGATTCTATCTTCAAACATCTTAGGAGCATACTTTTAAAAAAATCAGCCTGCTTTATAAAGCAAACAGTTAGGAGATACCCTGCTTTGTGGGCAATTAGACTCATGGAAACAACCCAGGGCGAATTCGGAGGGAAGCCACCAGTTTACAGTGCTTATCCACTCAAAACCTTCCCTTCTGCCTCTGTCTGTCCTTGTCTGCCAACACATTTTAGCTTGTTGAGAAAAATGTAAGGTTTTCTCAAAGCTTTTATATACCCCGATAGCTCTCTGCATAGATATCTTGCCATCAATTGGAGAGAATCAAGACAGGCTGCTTTGGGGAAACTGAGGGCTGTATTGGTGACCTTATGAAAACTGGTGTCTTTTTACTGGCACCCCATGCGGATGTTCAGTTTGCTGATTTCCACTGGAAGATCCTCCCAAGGAGGTAGATTCATCAAGAGGTTGGTGTGCAGTTCCCATGAGGCCCACCCCCATGGCCAGTGGTGACCCAGGATGATGGAATCTGAACACCTTTTTGGGGGAGGTTGGCCGTTATGATCCTACCTGGCCTGGGTGAGAGATGTCTTTCTTTCATCCTTCTTTGATGAGTTGAAGAGGGATAGAGAAGATCTACTACTCCAGAAGTTGATGAACTAGCACTGGGAGCATCAGAGTTGGAAGGGAATTCTTCTAGTCAGGAAGATGGACTAGAAGACCTCCAAGGTCCCTTCTAACTCTGATGAAGTTCCAATTAGATTGCTCCTGAGCCAAGTTACTTCAGGCATGGAAGTGGCACTGGATGTGGGGGGATCTCAAATATGAAATTTAGGAACAATTGGAGAGCTACAACCTCCCCATCTTGGTCCAGTCATTAAATTGGTGGACAGTTACGGCCACCTAAACTTGAAGTCTATCCAACATAAGAATCATCCCTGGCAGAATTTATCTTGAAGAGAAGATGCTGCGAATTGCATCTTTTTTCCCCCTCTGTCTAAGGACGCAAACCTCAACGGATCTTTCGGCAGTGCTCAGCACATAACAGGTGTGAGTGCATGTAGGTATCCAAGGTAAAAATCAATCCAACTGGAAAGAAAGAAAGCAAACAAAAGCAGAGGGCTCTTTTCATTCTCTTTTCTGGGAGGAATAACTGCAAAGCTCAGCAGTTTAGTGCTCCCCGTGCTCAGATATTTGCAAAGCAAGACAGGTTAGAAAACACAAAAGAGGTGGGCAGCAGCACAATCACTTGGCACGTGAAATGTGCAAGAGAAAGGGCATTGACAGATGGGAAGCTTGGTGGGGGTAGTTGTTTTCTCCCCTTTAGGGCAGGGGGTCTCCAACCTTGGCTACTTTAAGACTTGTGGACTTCAACTCCCAGAATTCCCCAGCCAGTGCATGCTGGCTGGTGAATTCTGGGAGTTGAAGTCCACAAGTATTAAGGTTGCCAGGCTGGCTGTGGAATTCTGGGAGTTGGAAGTCCACAAATCTTAAAGTTGCTAAGGTTGGGGACCCCTGCTTTTGGAGAACTCACAGGGGGGTTTCCAATATGGAAAAGGTTCATTCTGGACCCTCCATCAAAATTCCTTGACGGCCAACGCAATTGCACCATGTAGGTCATCCTTGATTTACAACTGGGA